GTCTGAAGTGATTGTTTTTTCTTAGCTAATTCTAGTTTGGTTATGTTGTTTGGTAGAATTTAGGTCTTGGTCTTATTCTCCATCTGTTCCTGATTGTCACACAAGTATGCACTAAAAACGCATATGGCATTCTGGTTTCTTCAATTTCTTCTACCTCTTCCACAGAATTAAATATCAGTAGTATGCTAGAAAAAGAAAGCAGGTAGGAATCCATCTTCTAAAACAACCCCAAGCATTAATTTTAAAGGATCTTGTACATTTTGTAAGACATAAGAATAAGCAATAATGATGAAAAGCAGGATCTACAAATAATCTGAGAAATGTACTGATTCTGTGAATTCATGTAGGAAACTGGTTTGCAAAAGTGACTGGAACTCCCAGTGATACATACCAGATTTCTGCACAAAGATATCACTTGATCAAATACTCCCAGATTCCCACAGGATGGTGACAGCAAAAGAACACAGAAACAAAACACAATAACAAAACTCACAAAACTTCAGAGTTCAGCCTTCAGAGTTCAGATTGTAAAAAAACAAGCACAAATGCCTCTCCTATGTATACACAGAACAAAATCTAAGAGATTTGCTCCAAATCAGTAAACTCAAAACTTCCCAGCAGTACAAGTGTATAATATATTACATCTTATAGCAACTGCTTTACAAGCAGTTTTTATTTTGCTCCAAAATGAACAAGTCTGATCTGCAGTATTGGTAACAACTTCATTTTCTCCTACTGCAATTCTACTTGTGGGTTAGTCCCAACAGGCAGTTAAGTTCTGCTTGCTCATTCTCTCCTACAGTGGTGTAGGTGAAAAGAATTGCACAGGAAAAAACCAGAACAAAAATTAAATACATTGCATTGAGTTAAAGATAGCTTAATGAGTGAAGCAAAGCAGCACATGCGAACAAAGAAAGCAAAATAAGAAATGTATTCACTACTTCCTGTTGGCAGGCAGATGTTCAGTCATTTCCAGGAACACTGGGCTTCATTACCTAACAGTTACTTTAGAAGACAAACACCATAACCCCAAATACCTCTTGTTGCTCCTTCTCTTCTGAGCTTTTATTGCTGGGTGTGTCACACAGTGTGGAGCATCCCTTTGGTTGTTTTGGGTCAGCTGGGACAGCCGTGTCCCCTCCCTCCTTCTTGCTCATCCCCAACCAAATTGCTGGAAGGCAGTGTGAGAAATCCTGATGCTGTGTAAACACTGTCAGAGTAGCTAAAACATTGGTTTGGTCATAAAAACTGCTTTGGTCTCAAATCCAAACTGCAGCATACAGGATGCTCTGAAGAAAATTAACTCCATTCTAGCCAGATTCAGTAAACAACTCCATAGTATGCTTGTTTAAACAGAACTGAAACTTGTACATATTTAATTTGTTTAGAACTGAAATTCCAGTCACAGAGTGTTAAGACACAAACTCACAGAGAATGAAGTCTAGTCTGTATTTTTCAGCATGTTTATGCCTTCAGAAAATAATTCCAGTGAATGAATTCTGTCAAGTTTGAATGGAGATCACATCACAGCCTTTTTGATTAAGAAATATCCATAATAATCTACTTAAAAGGTATCTTTTCATTGACTGAAACTCATTTAATCCAGAGAAATATTTCTGAGTCTTTTACTTTAAGATGTAGTGTCATGCTACTCGTGAACCTAAATTGACTTTAACCAATTAATATGCCTCTTTGTTTTTACACCAGTCATAGCTGTTGTATTTATTCATGGTGACACTTCAGTAATATTTTCTGAATGATTTAAATAATGCATTCCAGTTTCACATTGTTAAAATGAATGAGGAGTTAGTTCCCAGTATGTCTTAATATGCTTTTCAGAATGATTCTTTACTCATTCCCTTGCTTTCCAGAGACTCTAAGCAAAGCCATATACTCTGGACTCATGCACTCTCAGTATGTTGCTATGTTTCAAAGCTAATAACATTAGAAGCAACCACTTGAACTCTGTGCATCACCTCACAAGAGGCAGTGTTGTCATTAATATTATGCATTTTGCTTCCAGAAACTTTAGCACTGTAAGTATTTTTTGTTACAAAATCATAGGAATTATTCTACAACAATTGTCAGATGTGAAACAAAACAATTTAGGATAGAAGTGACTGACAGAAATCATTTTACCTGCTCAGAGTAGGGCCAACTTTGAAATTAAATGGAGGTATTCAAATTGGTCATTCAGTTAAGCTTTGAGTATCTTCAGGCCAAAATTTCTTCAGGCCAAAATTCTACCACCTTTTTGAACAATTTGTCCCAATGTTTGAATCTTAGCTGTTAAGATTCAAGTATTAATGCCTTGCTGCAGTTTGTGACAGTAGCTCCTTGGCCATTCGTTACGTCCTCAGAAGATCCCAACTCAGATTCCTCTATCCTCCTTGTAGGCAGTTGACGGATTTTTCTCTTAGCCTATTTTCTTAATGAAAAAAACAACAGCTACAAAACAAAACAACAAAGAAACCACAACAGCTCTCAGCCTCTCCTAACACAGCTTGTACTTCAGTCATTTTAGAGGATCCTGCTATGTTAAAGTCTTCCTTACAAAGAGGAGCCCAGCTAGATACTATTTTGGAGGCTCCTCCTATCCTACTGAAGAGGAGGAGTGCGAGGAGCTTAAGGCCACTGGTGACTAGCCAAGATTAATTTAAGTAAATAATAATTATAAGAAAGTAATGATGTTTGAGAAAGTTTGTTTACTTGAAGCCTTTGAATACGAAATCTTGGTCCAACAGATAAACCTGAGTTCATTTTAAGTCTCTTTCAAGTACAAAAATAAAGATCTGCAGTTTGTGGGAAGAAGGCAAAGGAAAGAATGGAGAGGATACTTTTGCTTGTGACGTATGTACAGAAGCACTGCCATTTCTTTTTTTGGTAAACTATTTGTAAATATCCTGTATGTTTATCATAAGGTCAAGAATAGCAGGCTTTGTGGCTCAGGTCCCTCATCTGCAGATAAAATCTTCAGCTTTAGCCTAGCCTGAACTTAATCCAAAGATTTCTCAAGTTGAGTGAATCTTTTAATAGAAGCTGCAGTTGAGGCTCATTGCCTCAACAAAGACTCTCAGAAGCAGAAAGAAACCTGAAGGCAAGTTGAGAGTCAACAAGCAATGCATTCAGCATTTTTCTTTGATTTTCTGCAAGGGGATGAGTAAAGAACAATAACTTATTTCAATCTTGTTTATTACACCAATTTCATCTACAATATTTGCCACTCTTGGTCCCAACACAGAAAGAATATCCTCCTTCGGGCTCCCCTGGACTCCCCTTTCTTTTATGCTGTTTTTGCAGGAAGAAAGAAGAGAGGCACAAAGGCTATTTCATGGTGTATTTGAGTTATAATATTAGTGACAAAAATTACCCAAGCAAAGAAGTTTTACCTTGGGGAATGTGGAAAGATTTACCTATCATTACAAATAAAAGTTGAATAAAGATAAAGATTAGCTCAAACTAATTTAGCATATCAAGTAATATCTGATGATCTTTTGTTGGCTGAACTGGAAATTTTAATAAATGTCAACAACTCTTTCAACAACTTATTAAGGTCTTCTAATGAAAAAGAAAAAAAGACATTTTTGTATTACATGCGAAAACATGGCCATCTACATGGAAATTTATTTCTTAAAGTTTTAACCTCAGCATAGCTTTGCTTCAGGTGAGTTAATCATTAGCCAAGCAGTGAACAGAGTTCTGTTTGATAGCACTGACAAGAAACTTCATCTATTGACAAGTTATATTCTCCAAGGAAACCACACTCTAAAGTGGACTTGTATCCCAGCAAGTCAAAGCTCTTTATGAATAGGAATGCATACTTAGACCTGAACAGAAAGATTTATGCGTAATTGAGCAGATCTGAAAGTACTACGGTTTATGCAACCACTCAACATTACCATGCACAATTCCTTTATTATTAAGTAGAAAGAAGAGAAAATACATACAGTTTCCCATCTCCCTGACTTGCAGTCCATCCTTCTCACCCACAGCACACAATGGATCGCTGTATGGTTATCCTTCAGAGGAGCTACCTCGTAGCTCAGTGCCCAGACATTTGTTTTGTCTGTCTCTCTCATACGATTCAACAAAAAGGCAAAGCTCCATACACAGAGCTCTTCAGAGCCAGGTTAGCAACAACATCTTTGTCTTGGGCAAGGACAAGTACCTGCACTTTGGCTGCAGAGCACATTGCAATTTCATTCATGTTTCCACAACTGTGGCCTTTAAAGGTTGCATATGTCATAAAGCGTTCAGGGGAGGGTCAGCTTGGATATTAGAAAAAAATTATTCTCTGAAAGAGCAGTGAGGCTCTTTCAGCTGCTCAGGGAGGTGCTGCAGTCACTGTCTCTGGAGGTGCTCGAGATGCGGCCAGTAGACTCGGTGGGGACGTGCTGATGACTGGACTAGGTGAGCTCAGAGGGTTTTCTCAGCCTTAATGATTCTGCGATTCCATGAAAGCAATACCTGGCAGCTCAAAGCAGTTCAAAGCCCGACACCGCCTCAGCTGGCAATAGAAGAAACTCATATGCTCGGCAGCGCCTCGCTAGGAAACAGATCGGTGCCTAGCGAGAAAGGCGCGCAGACCCCCACTGGTGGCGCCCGGGAGAACCCGAGCGTCACGGACACGTGCCGTGCGAGAGGCACAAAGGAGGAAAGACACAAAAGGAGACCGGAAGGCCGCGCGCAGCCCTCCTGCCGCTCCTCGCCCTAAGTGCCGTCGACTCGCGCGCCGCACCCGACTCCGACCGCTTCCGTTAGCGGCGCGCGCCCCTTTGAAGCAGCGGCAGCTGGCGGCGCCGCGCCGCGCCCTTGCCGCGCGCCCATTGGCTGGCGGCGCCGGCGCTCTGCGGCGCTGGGGCTGCGAGCGCTGTGGCTGCCCGGCTGCCGGCAGGGGGGGGGGCCGAGCCGCCCCCGCCGCGGGGACCCCGGCGCCTCCTCGCCCGGCCAGCCGCCTGCCTCAGGGCGCTGCTCCCGCGCGGAGCGGCCGGCGGGCGGAGCGGGGGCGGCGCGGGGGCCTCCTCTTCCTCCGCGGGCGGCGGCAAGCGCGGCATCCCCCAGCCCGGGAGGCCGCTAACAAAGGCTCCGCGCCGGCCGCGGCGGCTCCGGCTGCCCCCGCTCCCCCCGCTCGAGATGGCGTCCCTCGGCCTGGGGGGGCTCGGCGCCTCCGCCCGCAGGAAGAGCGTCCCGTCCCGCAACGCCGCGGTGGAGAGGCGGAACTTGATCACGGTCTGCAGGTGAACCCTGGGCCCTGCCCTCCGGCCGCGCCTCCCCTCCGCGCCTCCCGCCCCTCCTGCCGGCGGCGTCTTCCTCCTCCTCCTCCTCTTCCTCCTCCTCTTCCCCCCCCCCCCCCCTCACCCCCCCACGCGAGGCCTCGGGGCCGCCTTCGGATGGGCGTCCGCGCCAGGGCGGCTGTCGCCGGCTCGGAATCTCCGTTCTGACTCAGCGCCTCCAGCGGCGGTCGCCGGGGCCGGGGGCTGCAGGCTCCCGGCGGGGCCGCACCTGCCGCGCAGGGCCGAGCCGAGCCGTGCCGTGCCTCGGGGAGGGAGGCTGGGCTGGGCCGGGCCGTCCGGTGAGGTGAAGGCTGGGCGTCCCGCTGTCCGCCCCCACCTGCCGGCCGGGCTCCGAACCCTCTGAATGGCAGCGGGGATTCCCGCCTCGGGGCGAGCGGCCGTCGCGCGGCGCCGTAGCGCAGAGGCTGCGCCTTGGGGGGTTTTGTCCCCGAAATCTGCCTCGGGAGATCCGCGGGACGCGCGAGACCGACGGCGCTAAAGAGTTTCTTTTAACCTAATAGCGCTGAGCTCATCCGCGCTTAGCGGCGCATCCTGCGGCTCCCCTGTAAGCGCTCTGCTTCTGGCGGGGCTGAAACACGGCGTTTCCAAGCGCGCGGTGCTGCCCCGTTACATCACGGCAAACTGAAACGCACAAACGCGCTGATAGCGATGATGCCGTCCCGTCTGTTTCAGTTGGTAGATTTTTAAGGCATCGAGCAAGCCTGAGTATTTTCTGGAGAAAGTTTTCTGTAGTCTTACGTGAGCTATAGTGAAAGTTCTCACAATTTTTAAGCGTACCCAAGAAGCCGACTTTTTAGTGTGGGCAGATAGTGACAGGACAGGGGAGAGCAGCTTTGAACTAAAATAGAGGAGATGCAGGTTAGTTGTTAAGGAGGAATTTTTCACTCAGAGGACGGTGAGGCACTGGCACTGCTGCCCAGAGCTGTGGGTGCTCCATCCCTGGAGCGCTCAGGCTTGGATGGGCTCTGGGCAGCTGAGCTGATGCAAGGCAGCTCTGCCCGTGGCACTAAGTGAGGTCTGAGGTCTCTCTCAGTCCAAGCCATTCTGTGGTTCTATGAACCAGCAGATCGTGGTATGTCTTCACAACTGAATGCTACAACTTTGTCTGTTGCTATACAGGCATTGTCAACCCACAGGCTTGGGAAAGCAAGTTTAGTCGACTAATAGTGCAGTTGTGCAGGATGTACTCAATTGTTTTTAAGGGAGTATTCTGTATTCTGCAGATCTTGCCACTTTGTGCTCCCTCCTTGTTTAAGAGAGACTCTCAGGCTGTGCTGTTACGTTTCATTATTCAGTTCATTTCTTCCATGTACTTGTCATGGTGTGACATACTTAAAGAAGTTTAGTGAACAGAGTTTGCTCAAGCACATGAAGTGGTGAAGTACTGCAGAAAACACAATTGACATAGTTATTATTTTCAGTAAAACAGTGGAATTTTGCTATATCTTCCCAAATCCTGAAGATGATCATTTGTCAGGACAGCTTAAGATTTGAATAAGATGATGAGAAGGAAGCATTTTTTATTATGAAACACATGCATTTGTTTCTATTCTTCTGTCAGTTTAAATGAAAATGTTTCCAATATTTCTTGTCTTGTCTTCCTGTAGTTATTACACATTTGCTGTTATTGGAAAGTGCTATTTTTTTAATAGGAATGTTCAAATCAATATTTAAAGTGCCAATAGTCCTTTCCAATCCAAAACTTCTGGCAATAAGATAGTCCTGGTAAAAATTGCTCTGATGAATTGGTTCAATTATGTTTGGATGATACTGTTTGCTACCCGGTGAAAGTGAAAGATTACAAGGAAGGTGTTCATTTGAATTACTGTCTGGTAACAGTCTCTAACAATTTAACGAGCTCTTTTGTCAAAGCCACAATTTAGCAGATTTCTATTTAATTTATTAAATATTGTTATTTATTAATTTATTAAAGCAGGTTTTAAGGCTTTTAGTATTTTCTTACAGCAATGATATCTGACTTCATGCCATTGTGGGTAGTTTCTTACATTTACAGTTTTGGAAGGAACAGATGGATTTTAGTAAAGTGTTGGGTGGTAGTATAGCCATGGGAAGTAATGATATCTTCTCCAAACTAATGCTTGAGAAACTAATTGTATGAGAAAATAGGGGGTTGTGCTTTTGTAACTGCACAGTGGTGATTTAAATTGCAATGATTTCTATTTTTTTGTTTGTTTGTTTGTTGGAGTAAGTAACATACAGTTCTAAAATCCGTCCCTCTCCCTATGTTTTGTCTCTGAACTTCGATGCCTTACATATTCCAAAGTAGAGCTGGGATTTGGAGGTCATTCATTTTTGTTTTCGTCTGTTCCTCCTTCAGATTCACAAATCAAAGATTCATATGAAAACAGAACCACCAGAAAATGGAAGGCTTTTAGCATAAATACAGAATTCTGATGCAGAATTGAACAACTGTCAGGAAAAAGGTTTCTGAAATGATGATTCTGCTGATACGTAAAAGAGCTGTTGCATTTCACTGACCTTGACCCTTAAATGAACTGTCAGATTTTACCTACAATCAGTATTCTACAAGATAAGGGATGTTCATTTATCATCCTGGGGACTTTCCTACTTTAGTAGTCTATGTTCTTATAAATATTTTACACTGACATATTTTACACTGATTCCAGATTACAAACAAATTAAATTTGAAGAGATCCATCCATTCATCTGAAAACTGAAAGGATCAGAATCCTCCAAATGAAAAGTAACATTCATGCAGCAGTTAAATTTTTACCCTCCTTCCTTTTCTTACCAGAAGCCTCTTGCTGCTTCATATGTCTTTAACAGTGCTTTTTATGTTTGAATATAGTCAGAAAAGGTTCGGTGTTGGTTTGGAGTTGTCCGAGGAATTTGATACGTAGTGGAGGAGCCTACTCCCCAAACATTTCTGTAAATTGTTTGTAATCAAGAGTGCTTCAGAAGTTCTGCTTAAGGCTGGAGAATGCTGCTGTTTCTGTGTGTTTCTTTGGCTCAAACAGGACTGCCTTTGTGACAGAAATGAATAGGGAGGGATCTGAAAACATTATAGAGATCACTTAGAAGTAATGGCATTGGAATCTCTCTAATAGTAATTACTGAATGGAATGAGAGGGAAGGGAGAGATAATACAAAATTAAATGAAAACCAATAGAAGTCAAAACCCTGTTGTTGCAGGGGAGCAATAGTTTTGGGGAATAAATCATTCCTCTACCACTGCAGCTCTCCAAAGTAGTTCATCGTAGAGCACTGTAAGTTTGTTTTCAAGTCGCTTTAGCTGTTCATACATGTTTGGAACATGTTCTGTTACTCTCTGCAGTGTGTGTGTAGCCTGTTGTTCCAGAGTGCAGTGCCATTGTAGTAGCCCAGTAGAAGGAAGCATGGAGTAGGGAGCAACAAAGGAAAACAAGAACAGTGCTTATCCTGAACCTTTGATTCTGTTGAGTTTACGTGCACGTTGTTTCTTAATAGCTCACGTGTACCTCGTATTTGACCTTTTCTTTCTTGCCCATTAGTCCCCTAGTAGTTCTAGATAACAGAGCAAAAAAGTGTGGGCTTTCTTTTGAGGAACTGTACACTGGAAATAACATGTGAGTTAACGACTGAGTTAAATTACCCCCAGAACGTTTCCAATTGCTCAATTTTTGCCTGCTTGCACTGTTGTTGCCCTGATCTGTAGAAATGAGGTGTCCACACTTACACTCCCTGGCAGCTCTCTCAAAAGCCAATTTCAGCCAAACTTGCTCCAGCTGTAAAGCTTGTTTAAGGTTTTAATGAAAGCGTAGAACAGAGAGATGAAAATTAATACTTGTAAAGAGAGGTGGTGGCAGTAATACAAGCATTTAAAAAGATAGCCGTTGATGATGAGCTGTTGGACCCTTGTTTCTAATCAGTCCCTAGTTGTGGTACAGCTTTGAGAAAACAATCATTACTGCCCTTTGAGTAATGAATAGCAGTGGCACTTACTAGGTATAGATTTACTCATGGGAGTGCTTGTCTCTCACCTACTTAAAATTGGTTGAAGAAGTGGAGGAGTTCAAAACTGAGTCATAACTTGGCACAGCAGGAGCTTCCTCCCCCATGCTCTTCCCTCCCAATTCCTGCCCTGCCAAAGCCACTGCAGCTACAGCAGAAGCCTGCAGGAAGGATAGGATGAAGAGTCTTTATTCACAAGTTTATGTATTATAAGGTAACTGAAACAAAACTCTTGGATTATGTATATGCAAATTCAGTTTGAGCAAAGTTAGGGACTGTGTCATGTTGAAAATAGGCATCAAGAAGCTGTGCTCTCTGCACTAGGGTTACAGGGAAGTAGCTTGTACAGTAGAAAGCATTTGAAGACAGTACAACTGGCTGAGGGAGCCTCATTCCTGCCCTGTATGCTGCTTCTGTGCCTGTGCCATAGTCAGTACTGAGGTGCTGTGAACCATGTCTGTGATGAGTGTATCCATATTTTAGAGTTACTCCACTGCTCTCAAGTATTAAAAGTGCAGTCCAGAGTAGCTGTGCCAAGCTGTAGGTGTGGTACAGCTATCAGGTGTGCTCAGGCACAGGATTGAGGATGAGCAGAGCGAGAATTTCCTGAGCTGGAACCATCAAAATCCAGGTGTGGTGAAATGAAGTCCTCAGGCTCCAGTATGGCTCCATTAGTACAGACATGTGTTGTTGCAGAAAGCAATGATAGACACCTCAAAAATGCATTACTTTCAAAGTCGAGGACATGTGAAACTTGCCTTGAAGCTGAAAACTGAAGAACAAGGAGCAGAAAGCAAAAGCCAATTATAATAAAATGGAGATGGCGAGAGAAAAGCATGTTGTTGTCATGTTTCTAGTGGTTTAAATTGTCCTCTTTTGAATAGGAATTAAGATGTGTAAGTGTGGATGTAATTGTTAGTGAATGTTAGCTGTATTTAGTTGCTTTTTTTTTTTTTTTGACAATGGCTTGGTACAGCCTTTCCAATTTTAATATTACATCATTTAAATTGATAGCTTTTGTGACTTAACAATGGATTAATGTGATGCTGAGAAGAAATTACCAGCTTTCACAAGGAAATCAACCTGTGCAAGTTAATGCACAGAGACAGCTGCAGAACAATGCACTGTTTTATAATATGTTTGGATTATTCTTGCTTAGGATAAAATTCAAGTGTTCTCAGAATAAAGCTTATACTTATGATTCTTGTGCATGGATTTTAGGAATGAAAGGGCTATAGAGGGAAGTGTCAAGTAAATTGGTGTTGAATGCCTTTAATTGCTGCTTTTTCTCCAGCTTCTCTAAAATATTTCTGCTGGTTATTTTCTTGTCCTCTCACATTTACCTACAAAGTATTTTATGTTTTCTTTTCTTTTCTTGTCATTTTTAAGGCTTTATGCCAAAGACAAGTGGTGATGATTGTATTTCTATGCTGTTTCTTGGTGTGTTGCTTTAACTGAACTTCGAAACCAAGGTAGTTTTCTGGGTTTTTGTTCATTTGTTTTGTACAAACTACAGTCCCAGTACTGAGGACCAGCAATTATGGACATTGTTTCTGATTGTACTTTGCTTTTGCTCTAGGTTTTCGGTCAAGACCTTGATTGACCGTTCCTGCTTTGAGACGATAGATGACTCTTCTCCTGAATTTAATAATTTTGCAGCCATTCTGGAACAGATTCTAAGTCATCGACTGAAAGGTAGGTTAATAAAGTATTACTTTGGTGATGTTTTTGCTGTGAGAGTTCATTTGTCAGTCATAGAAGCTCCTCAGTGCTGAATGGAATTGCTGGCTTTGTGTGCCTGTCCCATTGCTGTTGTCTTTCTTATGGTCTACATTGCTGCAGAGAAGTTAAGAAACAGTTTTTATCGTGTGTTTCTGTTGTTTGTGTTGAAAGCCTTCTAGGCTGGTAATTAAGAAACTGGATGTTGCCATGGTACTGAGGTCTGCTTTCCTGCTTTATGATAAGGCTGTGTTCTGGGACTCACAGACAACTGTAGTGTTTTTTGCTTTTAGGTATAGCAGGCTGTTCTGTGGTGTCTTTCTCCCTTCCTTCCTTTTGTTCTCTGCTTTTCCATACACTGTGTTTAGGTCATTTCCCCTTCCCCCTGCAGCAAAGCTGTTTTTTTTACTACTGACATGTAAATGTAATGGATCTGGATTAAATTGCATTTGAGAAAGGTCAGTCATCGATTCTCCTCTGGTATTGGAGTCAGATGTTCCAATTCAAGAAGATGTCTGTTTGCATTTTCTGAGTGTTCTAGAGGAAGCTGCTTCACTGAAAGGACAGAGTGTTCCTTAGTAATAGCAGCCACTAGGAAAAGACTTCAGAAGCTTCTCCACATTTCTCAGTTCTGTGTACAGTTCCTGAAATTATTTCAGGATTATAAAGGACATTATCTAAATATAGATGTGTAATATGACAATCCACTCCTTTTCATTCTTCTGGGTTTTTTTGATATTCATAAGTTTTGTGAACAATGTTATGTGTAGGCTGACATTTGAGTAGCGCGATTACTGCCTGCTGTCATTCTGTCAGAGGAGGGAAGAAATCACACGGTGGGGTAGGAACATAGTGTTTGTCACACAGTGACAAAGATTATTGGAGTGATTATGGATATTTAACAACTTGACACTTGACTGCCCCCTCCCAACCTAACCTCAGTGGTATTTGAGTGAAAACTATTACATAATTTGTTTATATATTTATTTATCCCAATTCTTGTTTGCTTCACAGCTTATTATGTATGTACGTACAGGCAGTACAGAGAAGCCTTAACAACTGGCACATGGGTTACAGGCAAATGGAATTTGTAAATAAAATAATATTTCAAATAACAAATGAAGAAAATAAAAAACAGCATTGTTTCAGTTTCAGTCTTCCCCTTGTGATTGCAAGGGAAATTTACGGAGTTAAATTTAGGGAAAGAGGCAGCAACTGGTGTATCATGTTGCAAGTGGGGAATATTTTGTTATTAAGCTAGATACTGCCAGTAATTATTTTCCTCTTTAAAAACTTGAAGGGAAAATTGACATAAAAGTACCATGACATTTCAAGTGTTAAGAGTGTTTAATATTACACAACACAGGGCTTGAAAGAAATTGCACGTTATTGATGGAAATGACTAATATGGTTTGCACGCATGCTTTGTGTCAGTGGAAGCACACTAAAAGCAGGCTGATGATTGCAGTGGGTTGCATAAAATGTTTTAAGGCAGGCAGAACATACATGATATATTTGTCTATGGTAGCATAAATGGCTCCATTCTGTCAGGGTTGTTAGGGTAATCCAGTGGCAGTATCATTAAATAAATGGTCCAGATTTGAGAGTTTGTAGACATTAACTTCCATAAAGCCTTGGTAAATAACAATTCTTATCTTCCATCAGAAGTAGTGGGTGAGGGAGTACATCTAGGGAGCACCAGGTACACCACACAAAGAGCATTACACAGCACAGGGATAATTACATCTCCACTTTAAAGAGCAGAAGGCAGTCTATGGCTTTCAATTCCTACAAGACAATTAATGCTTACCCAAACACTTTCTTCTGTTCCTTGGGATAATTAAAAACAGGCTGAGGGCTTAGACTGCTTTTTCTAACAGCTGCCTATTCCTGACTGCTGCTTTCATCCTTTGTGCACACATAACTGCAAGGTAGAACAGAGGTGGCCAACTTTTTGAGCATTACTCACTATGTTACCTTGTATGAAATTTTTTTGGTGTCATATGCCCTAAGTCCTTTATACCTCATGAACAGATAGCTGCATTCAATCAGCATTCACCTCTCTGCTGGGCGAGCTGCTGTAGTTATGCCAGTCTCGTTTAATTACTAAATAAACACCCACATCTAAGTCACTTAGGTTAAAAAAGAATGTTTATGGGGGAAATTCATTGCTTTTCTGCCTGTTTTAATATGTTGCTCACGTTGCTACAGTTGGCACTTTTAGCAGAAGAGCCAGGAGGCTGAGGGTTTGGAAATGATTTAGCAGAGGGCTGTTAGAGTTAGGGCAGTATGGTCAGGTTGCAGTTGGTCTTGATGATCTTGAAGGTCTTTTCCAACCTGAGCAATTCTGTGATTACTATTTCATTAATTACTATGAATGCAGAGCAGATCCAACATCTGAATTGTAAAGCTTATGTATTTCCTGTCTTTGAAATAAGCTTTGTGGAATGTCTTCTGGCAAGGTATGATGCTAATTACTGGGCAGAGCAATTGGAGATCTTCAAGGGGCAGGAGAGAAGGATTAACAGAAAGAGGACAAGTGACTAATTACTCTTCTATTCCTTCTCAGGATTAAGAATTCACATGGTTTCATAATACAGCAGAGTACTAGGTGGATGCACAGCATGTTCTAATGTCTGTGATCTGAACAAGAGCTATAGTTCTGAATGGAGATCTCACAAATTTGTATGCAAATGTGTGTGTATCTGATCATCACTAAAGCAAGGCGGGTGATTTCAGGAATTGCTTTCTTCCTAGGAGTTGTTCAGAAATTTTTCTTTCCTAATCTTCTGGTATTATGGAGATTTAGCCATATCTTTCAGCTGTCTTGGTGGCTTCTTCTATTCACTGCTCTCATAGATTGAATTTTCAGGTATTTGTGTTGGTGTCCTTTTTGTCAGGTCAGTTGAGTAAATATAGTTAGTGCAGATGTGGTAGGAGCATAAAAAAATGGTGCAGTAGCCCTACCTGGGTTTTGATCACAGATGTATCCTAGCTGATTGAAAACCTGAATCCAATTCAAGGTGATATGTTGGCTTTGCTAAATCAAAATACTATGTGTTTTTCTGTGTTTTTCTACCACTTTAGTTTTCAACTGAGTTAGCAAGGAACTACCAACACAATTGCAGGTTTTTACAGCCATCCTCTCTGACATATTTTTGAAAACTATTGTCACAGGTATATATCTGTTGACTCCCTGTTTCTATTTAAATATCCTTTCAACAAATGTGTTTGTATCCTAACTTCTAACCAGTATGCATGCCTAGAAGTAATTTCAGTATATAACCAAGGTTCTGTTGCTGACGTGAAATACAGTGCATCTTGCTTGTGGGCTTGTAATTTTTTGTGTGTCGTAGCTACTGTGAGCTTGTCGTCTGTACACTTATGTTGCAGTCAATACCATAATGTCACAAAAAGGTAGGTTCTACTGTGCTGTTTTGACACTTGCACAACTCCACATGTCTTTTATCCTGTAATACATTGAGAAGATAAATACATCACAATTTTCTGCCAGAATTATCCATAGCTCTTATTTCTGTCTCTTTGTTCTATGCTGTTCCTAGCATGTAGTGACTGGATTTTATTGTGTTTTTTTTTTTCCTTGTAGAAAACTCCCAGTGACTGGTAAGCCCCTAGGGTGGTCAGTGCTGATTGAGTGGAAAGAAAGATGTATTAGTTCTTTCTTTTCTCATTATACAAAACATTTGACAAAACATGTTGTCTGCAGTCTGATGCCAGTAATGGTAACCAGCCATGCAAAGTGATGTCGTTGGTCAATATTATTTAGTTTTGACATTATCTTCTTCACAGTAAGGTGTGAACTGTTGAAAAAATATTTCTGAAACAGTGGCAGACTTTTCTAAGTCTTCAGTGCACACTTTATCCCTTCCTATATGTTTTTGTTGGTTTTTTTTTTTTTTAGTTTTAAGTCAAAAAAGTCACTAATTGCCAACTGCTATTTCACAGGGTTTCTTTTTTAAGCAGTGAATATTAATATAATTTGTATTAAAATTCAGTGAATTCTAGTAATATCTTAAAAGCATAAGCAGAAATTTCAAATGGGAGGGGTATGAATTATGTCTGTAGAAGAGAACTTGTGCTTGTAGGCACAGGTCTCAGGAGAGGAAGCATGATTCTATAAGATGCATCTTGCTGTGCCTCTCATCCTGGGAGAGACAGGTCTCTACATAGAAGAGGTAAGGAAGTTGTTATATAACAGGGGTGAAAAGGTTACATTAAGGAAGTAGTGAAGTCACTGCTGTCATAAAAAAGATGAATTCCAGGCTGAGATGGCCCTTTATTTGATAATGTTATGCTGACATGTTCTAAGAATAATAGCTTTTGTTACTAGGTTTAACATTTACATGCACATGGTGACCCTGTTACTGCTTTTGGCTATAAAGAAATAGAAAGTTCTTTGGGCATTTTGTGGTTCAGCTAATTCTACTTTCTTCTGCGTAGAGAAGAATCTGAAGTGATGTGTATTTGTCTTGGTGGACTTGGTTTATAAACTACTGTAAATTCTTAATGATTCATTCTGGAGGCCTAAAACAAAAGTACATACCATGAAAATTCTTCAAAGGAGCAACAAGTCATTTTATTGCTAGTAAATTGTATTAAGACTATTCACAAAATGGGCACGTTTTCTGCAAACTAAACAAAGTTTGGAGAAAATCTACCTGTAGCTTAGAGCATCCTAATCATTACTGCTTTGCAACTGCGGAACTTTGTTTTCCAGGTCTGAAGTTGGACTGTGAGTGAGTAGAAACGGCTTTGGACTCTGCAGGAAACTTACTCTTTCCTTACAAACTTCAGCAGAAATCAAATTGTACACTAAAAACTTGCTTTTCTTTAAAATAGTGTTGATTGCTAGAGTGTAGGCAAGTTGTGAACTAACAGGGGTAAACTAGAAGTCCCTGGTTAATGAAAGGTCCTGCTTCTGCTGTGAGTTTCACGTGAAGGCTATTCCTTCTGAAGTCAAAAAGTTACACTCTTGGTAAAGCTGCTTGTGAGACCACAGCTCTCTGTTATGCCAAAATATATTGTAATTGTGACCAGCTTGCTTTGCTGATCAGTGTAAGCTGAATAAATGCTGGTAGGTATTTCTGTTGTAGAGTAATATGGTTTTTTGACCTCAGAAAACTGTAGGGCAAAGCTGGTTTTTTTTGCAGAATATATTCTGTGCAGTATGGAAAAGATCATAGAAGTTATAGTGTGATATGCTTGCCTTTGTTAGCTGGGACTGGAACTACTGTCATGAAGACACCTTTACACTTAAGTGTTGCATTCAGTTTTGCAGGTACTATCCTCAGGGCAGAAATGTTTCTAATATGATAAAGAATATAAAAAATATCAGTAGCTTTTGGTGATGTTAAAATGATGTTGAATTCCTGTTTCTGTCCACGGCACATGATGTTTCAGCAAAAACAGTAAGTTCATAGAAGCAGTTACCTTGTGAATACTGTCTTATTTTAGCCCTTAGAGCTGATAAAATCTGAATATGCTGTAGCTGGAGCACATTGGGATTTTGTTTTTCTTTTAGCATGTTGAGTTTCCTTATACTAGTTTTTTCTTGGTATGTTTGTGGTTAGTTTTTTTGATGTGCTTTAACAAGCCTTGTTCTTAGTAAATGTGGCAAAGTAAGCAGATGGGTCACACAGTTAAGTTTATGTGTCCTCTAGTGAGGAAAAAAAGCAAAACCTTGAATTTCTTAGGATTGCTGCGGCCAATCTTCAACACTTTTCTGGCTGTGCTTGGAGCTGAGCTACATTGTACTAGGTTCAATGTTCTGTACTATCTGTACTAGGTACAGATGTTCTTGGCACAGTATTTTGGCATTTTATTTTTAGTATGTATGATTTTCGGTGTCGGATAAGTACCGTGCAAAAAAGTGTACTGTTCTTTTTTGAAGTCTGAACTTTGTAACCAGCAAAAGAATTAGCAGCCTTTCTGAGAAATTAGTAAATCTTCAGGAAAATACAACTCAAGATGTGAAATATAATTAGCCTAAAAATAAGAGCTTATTTTACACAAATAAGTTTTTGCATGTATCACAGATTGGCCTGGGTTGAAAAGGACCACGATGATCATTTAGTTTTAACCTCCCTGCTATGTGCAGGGTCACCAACCACCACACCAAGCTGCCCAGAACCACTTCCACATGCCAGTGTGCAATAATGCCAGTCATTGGAGGGCAACGTTCCTCTTGCTATTTTACATTTTTGTTTGCAGTTGTGTGCTTTTATGTTTCAGTGTTACCTCTGAAATGTATTTTGCATGCAGCAGATTTCAAATGGTAACACTTTCCAACCAGTAAATAATAATGGCAATAATAATAATAAAGAGCTTTGGTTACCACTCCAGAAGAGATATTGACTTGCTCAGTTCATTTTTGTCAGCCTCCCAAGGTGTACTGTGTGTGTCCTCTAAGTAAAGGAAACTGTGACTGCTAAACTTTTTTGATCGTTCATCTTTTCTCCTGCACTGAAAGCACGTTATGAAACAATTCCAAATTGACTCCCAAGATAAGGGTAACAGTACCACGACAAAGGCTGCTCTTTTTGCATGCATATCTATGCATGCATATGAAGAACAAAACTCACTTTTCTTTTTCATCATGGTTTTAAGTCACAAAGGTGTGTGCTTTGTTGTGAGTAAACTGTCCTGTATATTACCATAGAGTCCTGACTATAAAGAAAAGGACCAAATACAGGCACATAGGCAAAAGCCTCACGCTTACTTCTCACACTGGTTTTCATTGAGAGTGAGCTGCATGGTGCAAGTTCCTTTTGTCACCTGTACAGCCAGCTTTCAGGAATTAGTGGACTTGCAAGCATAAAATGCTGTCTTTGCAGGGTGTGCATAGGAAACACAGGGAAGTATCTGAATTATGCTCCTCTCAAGCAAGCAGGGAAGAAGGTTCATAAATCTTCACATGTTTTTGTATTTTGATTTAAGGTCAGATCACCTGGTTTGGTTATGAAAGTACTCGTAGTTTTTGGGACTACATTCGGGTGGCTTGCCGAAAAGTCTCTCACAATTCCATCTGCAGTATTGAGAACATGGAGAATGTCGGTTCTTCTAGAGCTAAGGTAGGGAAGAAAAAAGTCAGTTTGACTGCAGTATTTCTCTTCCTTCTGTATAAAATGTAGCTCACACTTCTATACCAAGGAAAAAACACAGCAACATACGATTAAACTTGCCCTGTGATATTTCTCTGTATTTGAAATAATTCATTTTTGACATACAGTACCTAGTAAATATTTCTTTTGCTTTTAAAGCAAAAACAATTTTAAAAAATTACCCCAAAAACTTAGATCTGAATGCTTCTTTTTAAATTTGTGTTACTCATTAGGATAAATCTCAAATCCTCTATTTGTTAGGTATGCTGCATCATAAAGTGATTGCCTTTGTGTTTTCTAGCTTGTTTAATTTTTGGAAAATGCATTAGGATGAGAGAAATTAAATTCACCACAGATAGGTTAAAATTGTAGAAATGTCATTTTTTTCTAACCTATCTTTTCATTTTGTTCATGCACTCGTTTCTAGATACTTCCTAGACATCCTAGAATACAGCAATTGTATTGCTTGCATTTAAGACTTATTTTAAAGATATTTCTGAATTCCAAAATCTTCAGAGCATGGAGTACTTTAAGTACTATATTTAAGTTCTATAAGCAATAAGATGCAAAACTACTTTTTCAATTATGCTTATGCATTATTTTAACTTTCATTTGTTCTCTGGAAAACTCCATGACACATAATAATAGTAATAAGAAGCCAATTAGTGCAACTAGTACAGATAGGAGTGCTACATTTTTAAAGATGCACATTGAAAGAAATTTGGATGTCCATACTGAAAAAGCTGGAGATGTGTTGACACAAATTTTAAGTCCAAATTTTGGAAGACTTTGTTTCACAAAGTTTACTTACAAGAATTTATGTTTTGTTTTCATTATTACAGTAATGAAGTACAAGAAATTTTCTTTAGTGGTAATTTTGATAATCAGGATCAAGTCATCCATGTAATTCAATTTTATTCAGTTTCAGATGTAAAGTTAAGTGTTTTAGTCTGTAATGTTTAAATATTTGATATCTGCTTTTTCTTGCAGGGTCGAGCCTGGATCAGAGTAGCACTTATGGAAAAACATTTGTCTGAATATATTTCCACTGCACTGAGAGACTTCAAAACTACCAGGTCTGTAAGACTTTTATTTCTACAGTATTTTAGTGATTGTTGCTGAGGTGTGAGACTCAAATTTGGAAGTGAACGCTGCACTTAATTTGTATGGATTGAAGAGATGTAACCTAGTGAAAGACATCTGGAGTTAGTATCAATTTCTAAGATTTTTAGCATGGCTAAAACTGCAAAATTGCTATTGCAAAAATCCCTTAGTGACTGTAAAACGTGGAAATTTGTTGTAATTCTTGAAAAGTTAAAGAGAAGAAAACCTCTCAAAAGAAGGAATTCGTTTTGAAATTGTAGCCTGATAGCAATAGATCATCCAACCCCCCCTTCCATGGGCTGGGTCACAACCCACTAGATCAGGGTGCTCAGAAGTCACATCCAGCCTGGCCTTGAGCACCTCCAGGGATGGGGAAGCCACAGCTTCTGCAGGCAACCTGTACTAACCACCTTTGTAGTAAAGAATTTCTTTCTTATCTATCCTCTTTAAGTTTAAAACCATTACCATTTTTCTTACCACCCACTGTCTGTATACTGTGGTAGAGTCCCTATACATCTTTCCTTGGCCCCCCTGTATGCATTGGAAGGCATTAGTATGATCTCCACAGGGCCTTCTTTCATCTAGGCTAAGCAACCCCAACCCTTAGCCTGTGTTCACAGCAGCATTCCTGCACATGGGTGTATTTCTGAACCCACTCTAACAGGTTTCTCTTGTGCTGGAGGCCTCGCTGCTGGGTGCCATACTGAGTGCCAGGTGGGGTCTCACAGGAGTGAAAGAGAGGGGAGAGATCACCTCTCTCACCCTGCTAGTCACTCTTCTTTTGATGGAGCCCAGGGTATGGTTGGATTTCTGGACTTCAGGTGTGTGTGCTCATGTTAAGTTTTTCATCCATTCATCTCTCTCGATCCACTTCTCCCAGTCTGTACTGATGTTTGGGGTTGCCCTGACCCAGGTGCAGGTCCTTGCACTTGAAGGTATATAAAATGAACATAATTTATTTCAAAAATAAGTATTGATGTCAGAAAGACTCAATATATTAAAAATACGTTTTTTGAACTTCTGGGAACTTCTCTTGGAGAAAGAAGGGAATTCCAGGAAGCTTTTGAGAAGTACAGAACAGAAATAGTCAGACATGGCTAGAATTCTTGATGTAATATGAAAAACATGTAGCAGGTTTTTGTTGTACCACTTGATAATAAAAGCTGTTACAGATAAGAATATGCTTTGTGACGGAAATTATTTTCACCATTCTGGACTGGTTCTAGGTAGTGTATCAATTTATTGTATAATATTTCATCCTGTAACAGCAACATCTTATTGATTTGTTTTGAGAACATCTAAGTACGAGTCTGCATGAGTTGTGAAACCTTATGTTGAAATCAAAAAGTTTTAGACACAGTGAAAAGAATGCATACTCTGTAAGAACTTCTGTTCATTTGGAGTATTATTTCTGTTTAAAATATTTTTCCACAGATCTCAGTTTATTTTCCCAATATTAAGATGACCTTGAAACACAGTTTGGTAAACATACTGTTTTACCAAAATTTCCACTCCTATCATCTTTATTTTATCCATGTTTGCTTGTGTTTGCAGTAGACAAGAAGCTGATAAAGCAAAAATTTCTGGTAAAGAAATTAACTTACAGTGCATCAAACAGAAGAGTCACTTGGGTTTTTGAGAGGTAGATGAGAAGGAAGAGGAGGGTCAGAACACATATAGTTAAGTAGTATGTTTGTACTTGCTTGATAATGCAGTTTGTTTGCTAGGAGATAACAGCAGTCTTATTTTATTAGCTGTTGTATTAGTTTCAAATTACTGTATTTGGTGTTTTATGATTGGATTTTCTTTTAGTGCTATAGAGTTAGGAATCAATTTCTTGTGCTGCAAACATAATATATGCAGTTTTTGTTTTGAAATAGTATTTAAAATATGTTTATTAGAATTAGTAGTTACACTTTGAAATCTTGGTGCTGTGGACATTAGATTCACTGACAGTAATGGATGCATTCTCTTTCCCATGTGGTATTTTGGATAACTGCTAAGTGGCTTGATTTTTTTTTTTGATGGTGCTTTGCCAACTTATTTACATTTTTAAATGATGCATTGTGCTTGTGCTGTGTATTCAGTGTATATGTGTATGTGTGTATATATATGTTCATATATATGAACTCTGCATGCATTTCACATATGTATGTGGAATACTGCATCTGTCATCTTGCCAGCTCTTAAATCTTGCTGTTTTGTTTAGGTGGATGACTTTAGGCCTAGTGCTTCAATGAAACAGTTCATTATTAATGCTGGGTCTGTATGTTACACTTGGTAGGGGCTTGGATTAAGCATGAGCGCACAATTATTCTAAAAAATTGGCCAATGCAGTCTTATGTTAAAGCACACAGTCTTTCTTGTTGTATTATGTCAGTTACAGCACTGAGCAAAGATCAGGGAATTTTCCGAGGAGACTTTAGCTTTGGCTAGATAACTGTAGCTGATTTCAGAAATGAAAAAGTGAACATCTTACTATTTTAATTATGCTATGCATCTTTTTTGCTTGAATGCTTCCCAGGCACCATTTTACAAGCTGCTGTTCACAGTACAGATTGTTACCTGGCAGTGATTTTGGAAGTAACAGTTAAAAGGTTTACTTGTACTAGGAGTGTTGTTTCTAGTTTGCAAATAAACTTATTTTGAAGTCCATCTAGCTCAGTATTCTGCCTCGATAGGCTGCTGCTTTAGCCTTCTGTTATTTTGCCTGAAGTCAAGGGTTAGGGAGCAGAATCTACATCAGAGGGGTGCTGGTTCCAAGACTAAGGTTATCATCCCAGAGGATGTCTCTCAGATTTCTTGCTTCCACTGTGGAGCATGCAGAGTCTTGCACATCTCCTTTCCATACTACAAAGGAATGTTAGAAGTGCATACTTATTGCAGTGTTCATTTACTATGGAGTCCAAACAGACTTAGGTGCTGAGATCCAAAATGTCTTTTCTGGTTGTCTGGTTTGTCAAGTTGCCATACAGCCAACTTGAGATCTCTCTGAATCATCTGGATGCTTCTGCTTTGCTCAACAGACTGCATTTAGTCTTCTTAGCGTTTACAAATTCTTATCACATAGCCATTCATGGCAACAGTGGGCCCTATTTAGCTGTCCTGTGGAACATTTCAGTCTGGAAGTAGCTTCTTTGGTAGCTGGGAGAAGAAAGAAAGTGTAACTAGAACTTCTATTTTCTTGTTGCCATGGAATAATTTGTTTTTTGAATGTACACAAAGCAATTTCATCCTTTCAGCAGAAAAATACAAGGTATTGTCATTTTCTTTGCATTTTGTCCATCCTCTTCTACTGTTTTTTAGGGGTAATGTTATAAATTCATCTTCTGTCTGAAGTTTTAGATTACGGTGTTCTGCATTGTGCAGTCTGCTGGTTTGCTTTATTTGAAATGAAGTACGAGTGCCCCTGGGGTTCACATGGATTGTTTTTATTTAAACTGGATTTCTCAATTTTCTGTTAACTGTGAAAACAATCATTATTTGAAAAAAAATAGTGTTAATGGAGGTAATTTTTTTCTTTTCTTGAAGGAGATTTTATGAGGATGGAGCAATAGTTCTTGGTGAAGAAGCAAATATGCTTGCTGGTATGCTGCTGGGACTCAATGCAATTGATTTCAGGTATTGTATTTGCATGCTGCTTACTACAGTGCTCCCAGAAAGTGATTACACGTTATAGAAAACGTTTAAGTTCAGCTGATAAGTATGAGAGACAAAGCTGAGGAGGAGGATCATGAATGGCTCTTCTGGATAACAACAAAATTATGCCATAGTTAATACAGAATGATTATGTGGTATCTCTTTCAAAATCCTGAAAGCAATCAGAAGTGTAATTGCAGAAGATATAAGGGGCCATAAAGCTTGATGTAGAGAAGGAGAAAAAAAAAGTGGGGGGGTTGAATAAGGGCTTTCTTTTCTTGTGGCAGTGAGCTTCTACTTCAGTTGTCTGCAGACTAGAAAGTGGATGCAAGGCATGAGGGACAAGGAGGGAAAGTAAAGATCTTACTGGCTGAACTGACTCGTACTGGAATCAGATAAGTAGCAATACCACTGAGGATGGGGAAGGGATGTCTGGTTGGGGTTTAAAAAAAAAAACAGCAGCAAAAACCCACAAAACAAAACTAAAATGGGATGTGCGTTTTAAAAAGCAGGATAGTTTCTCTTGCCAGCGTTTAGTCATTGGTTTGGATTAACTGTGTGATCACCATATGTTGTGGGGGAACGGAAGTATGCTGCAGTATGATAAGGGAGCTAGCTTTGCATACAGCAAATTGAAGTCTTACCAGATTTCATTCATTCAGTTTTACACTATGTAAAATAAAAATGCTTCTATATTCTACGCTTGGAAGGAGGATGGCGATATATGAATAAGAAGTGTAGCAAGAGGAGATCAACAGTATATAAATCTTGCCATAAATTATAATGAATTGATTTTGTTTGGCTCCCATGAACCTCAGTGGCTTGTAGTATCTCTATGTGATCTAGGTTGTATGAATGCATGCACTCTCCCTTTATCCTCTGATTTCTAGTATGAACAGATTTTGCATGTATCTCTTAATATCATTCAGAGTAATGACTTATTCCCACTGGAGGCATTAAATTTTGTCACTGCAGCTCTTAAGGACCAAGAAATTTTCTGGGAAAAATAGGAACGTGGACCTACAGGAGCGTTTACTATACCACATTATTCATAATATTGTGACTTAAATTGCTGAGAGTCTGTAGCCATTCTTTGCTTGTTGTATTTGGATTACTTTTTTCAGTTCAAACACTCTTATAAATGTTAACTGACTTATCTCTGTGGAACTGGGTTGAGAGGCATAAGAGGTTGCCTGGAGAAGATGTAGTTGTAGCCAGTTTGAATGGGGCTTTGGGCAGCCTCATCCAGTGAAACCACCTACCTACCCGTGGCAGAGGGGTTGGAACTAGCTGAGAGCTTAATTCCCTTCCAAACTAAGCCATTCTGTGGTTCTGTGAGCGGTAAAAAATGCTTTGGAAGTAGAGCTGGGGAAACCCAGATGATAACAACTATTTTGTGATAATAAAATCTGATTCCAGTACTGTCTTTTAAATCCAGTGTGAAAAGAATACGTGAGATTCATATGTATAAGATCTTTATAAAGCTACAGCTGCTCGAGAACATTTTGTGAATGTTAGTTTCATTAGTGTTCATCATCTTAGAGCAGCCCAACACCAGAAAGTAATCAAAAGGAGATGATCTGAACTATTTTTGAGAACTGATTTTTTACTTAAAAATAGCAGGATGGTTATGTAAGCATTCTGCAGAGACTTTGAGTTTAAATACTGGCAATTTCAAACTCATCGACAGCTCTTCTGATGTTGTAGTTTCGGCTAACTTTCCTTATATTGTTATTCCCTCACAATCCACCTGTATTTTTAGAATAAAAGTAAAGACTTAAAAATCAGTGTCTGTACTGCTTGCCCTGATCTGTGTCCTAATTCTGAGAGGCTTTTTTGTCTTTTTTTTTGTTGTTGTCCTATAGTATTAAACAATCTATTTTGGCTGGGTAGGTTGAATGCTATAGGCCTTAAGAAGAAAAAAATCAGATTACACATAGGTAAGATTCATCTTTCATTGTCATACAATTTTCTTGATATAATCTTACTATTGTTTCTCTGTTTTATCAGTTTTTGTCTGAAGGGTAAGGGATTGGATGGCACCTTTCCAGCTGTCATAGATTACACACCCTACCTGAAGTTCATCGAAAGGTACTCTTGATCTCTACATTGTTTTTTAATTAACAAAGTGAAAGTTTTATGCCATAGTGGTCTTCATGATTTTCATTTTGCATTCAGAATCCTATTCCTATCTAAATATAAGCTTGTATCCTCGTTTATTTTCGGAAAAAAAAAATTCCAAAATGCATGTAAACAGTGAAGGACTTCTATGTTTTTATAGGATAAATAATTTGATAAAATACTGTAATCCTATGAAGTCTTAAGATTTTTGAGTAGAAGGAATTAGACTACTAAAAAAACCTAGTAAATATCTGTTAATGTACTGAAAAGCATAGTTATGAAGGAAGGTTTCAGATGGGTGTTGGGATAAATTAAAATGTTCATCCTTGAGACAGATGTCTGAATTCTGTGGCACGTGTTGATTCTGGATGATGGGGAGATTTTAACACTGAAGCTGCATGCTATTGAGGGATATTCTTATGTTCTGTGAAATAACTGGCGCATGGTTTTCACAGTAACCACAACTCATTTAAATTTATCATTTTAAACATAACCACTTGGGTATTTTCTGCATTTTTACTTTTAGTACAGTTTGTGTTCAGATACTACTCTTTGCCCTGAAATCATGAAGGAAAGGTTAAGTCATCGCTTCCTTAGGCAGCGTATTGTATTACATTAATCCTTTATATTCCAGGAGAGTATCCTGCATACATTTGTCTGACTTACCTAAGACACCAGTCTGAGACTCAACTAATAAGTAAATTTTGTAAAGCATTCAGGTGACTTTACAAATAAAGGTTAAAACAGAAGTTGTGCTTGGTTTTTCCCCATTGTTAGTGGTTTACAGAGCTTCAGATATCTTTAGCAACTATGGTGTTTTAATTTCAAGTTGAATTTGCATTTTAACATAAGTTTTCACTTGGCTAATAAGTATGATTCTTTAGTTCTGACAGCATCAGCAGTGATGAAGAAGAGCTGAGAACACTGGGCAGTAGTGGCAGTGAAGGCAGTACTCCAGAGAACATTGGTTCTGTCATCGTGGATGAACACAGTTGGTATAACAAATGCAAAAGGGTAGAACAGAAGTACCGCCTCGCGTTGGAACAGAAGGTAAGAGATTCGTTTTCTGTGGGGGAGATGAAGCCAAATCTGATCACCAAACAACTGGTAACATAGCCATTTAAACAAAGGCTGAAAAATAATGTTAAATATTATTTAGCTCCTTGTAGGTGGTCTTAAGTGTAATGTCATTGCTCAGCAGTTTGAGGGAAGAGAGGTCTGGGGAGAGGGAAGGAAAGAGTAACAATTCAGGGACCAGCTTCTAACGTAGAGGCTTTGGCGGCTTCTTTTTCCGGTCTTACAGGTAATGTATCTCAGTAAGTGTTGTGAGTTTGAAGTGAACTTGATTGCTCGCGGGGTTTCCCTCTTCTTTAGAAGTTCACCATATATGTTTATTAATGCTCATCATATCCTAGCTGAAGACTTTTATTATGGTAATAACCTTAAACCATTAGTTCAACGGTAAACAAAATGATTGGCAAAGTAATCTGTCCCAGAATGAAATGCGTAATTATCTTCTCAGTAATACTGAGATAAATTTTCAAATGTTTGTAGTTTTAAGACCTGCTTCAAGCTGCAATGAGAAAGGAAAGAATGTGTTCTGTATTTGATTTGAGTAGCTTATGTGACATACTGAGTGTTGCTACAGAAAGCAAAGGTAGGTTCTCCCTCCATCCCTCAGAAAACTCATAAGTTATAGGTGAAGTGGAATTGCAATTATGGACACACTTTCTCAGTATGGTTAGCATTTCAGTACATTTAAAAAGCAAAATGTTTGTCGGTGGATTATAGTAGCATATTGAAATTATAGATACAAATGATGTATTAGCTAACAGCATAAAGGAGAATAATTCATCGTCAACAAAGAAATAGTGAAAAGGAAAAGAAAGAGAAAAGTAAAATAAAAATTGAAAGAGAAGACAATGTTAGACAAATGGTTGATGTTTTTAAATAACTTTATTGTTTTAATATTTTTTTTTCATAGTGTCACAATTTGGTTTTCTTCAAATACTCAACACAGTAAACATATGAAATCTGAAACTATATAGGGATGCCTGGAGGTGTAATTATTTCCATTAGTTTAGGGAATTACAAAATTGCCTCTCTGCCTTTCTAGTTTCTATTGTTCTGGAGAGGAAAAAAAAAAAAAAAAAAGAAAAAAGAGGATCAGAAGATATCTAGAATGAATCTTCTAGCAATTGAGAACTCAGTATGTTAACTGTGGTAATCTCTGATCAAAGTCAGGGAATATGCATGGCTAATGTGCTTAATAAAGTAACTATTTCAAAGGCCAGATCCCAGCTCCAATTCAGTCACATATGTATTTAAATTATGTTTGGCCATGGTCTTGGCCTGGGGCAGCTAGCATTCTCACACATAACTTCAGGTCACCACTTGTGAGCTAGTGTTTGCCAGTGATCATTCCCAACAAACAGTCTGACTTCAGACATGGTCATTTGGAACTTGAGTTTTAGTATAGCTGTAGCCATACTGACACAGTGTGCCTGAGAAGGAATGCTGCATATGTTCAGATTATTAGGATAAATGTAGCTATGGATTGCTTAAGGTCAGTGCTAATACAAAATGGGCAGAATTAGAGTTGGGTTACTATAGTGCATGTGAGAGAACCTAGTTAAAGTTTTTCTGAGTAAAAGTGAGTAAGTCAGACTTACTGTGAGATGGTAGATGTGGGCTGTACATCTACCAGGCTGTACAGGCAGAACAAAAACAAATTAAAACGCTGATGCACTTACACTCTGTAATACTCTCTTGGCCAACCTGTATCAGCTGAAGAACTTTCTGAAGCTGGTATGGTTTGTTTAATAACCTGGGATGTATCGAGTATCCCCTTGATCCCACACAAGTTCTTAGCATTAAAACTTCTTTTCTTTTGGCAGGGTGCTCTGCATGTCTACCATCTGTTGTGTGAAAAGCCACCTCCTTTTCCATCTATTGATTTTGGCTTAGTAGCTTCATTTGATGGTGTGTAGCTCTTGTATTTCAAAAAAATGAACAGTCAGTTCCTTCCTGCCCTCTCCATGCCACCCTGGAAATAGGATGAGTTTGTCTTTTCCAAGTTGTCTTTGGTCCAGATTAATGAGTCATAGCTAACACATTCGTTAATTATGTGGAAAGTCTCCCTTCCTTATTTTGGAATGGTATAAGCTGTTCCCATTTGTGTAGTAAGCTCATAAATTCTTTGTGTGCTGTTTATACTGGAGTTTTATATACTTTCACTGGTGGGGTGACACATCTCAGGTCATTATTGATGCAGGTATTTACTGTTAATGTTATTGTGTTACTGATGCTTCACATCTAAAATCTTCATTAAATGTTTGTTTGACATTTCTGCGAGGCAGGGAACTTAAGTATGTCCTAGTGTACCTGTAAATACATTCAAAGCACTACTTACTTGGATATGACTAGAACTGCCCCAAATCTTTCCTATTACCAGTTGGAAAACTGATATAAATGCATGTTGCACCTATACATATCCAGTATTCCTAGAAGTGACCTTTGCCAGTTTTTCTACCTTATGCTTTCATGCAGATGAGTCTTCACTTTGATTACTTTCTTCTCTGTTATTTTAACATACAGTCTGACATTGCAGCTTTCTATCCCAAGAATGAGGCTTTCAGAGCAACTGGATTTTCTATAATAATTTGGGATCCCTTTCATTAAATGTACAGCTTTACGGATAAAGTGTAGATATTCTTTTTTCTCTTCTTTTTTTTTGTTGAGTCCTGATTTTTTTTTTTTCTTGTGCTAGTGATGGCTCTATGCATTTTTCATGCATATGCAAGTTTCATGTTTGTGGCATTACTGTCTTACTGATTCACCCACCATTCTTGAAACATGGGTAAGAACTTGATTCTCTCAGTATTGATTAAGAAATGTCCTACGAATCTTAGGTCAATTTACTGATCAGAGTGAAATTTATACAGTTCTGTTTATTTATTTTAAACCAGAAAAACATGAACATACATAAGGAAAACTTCTCTGCTTGAACAATGTTCTTTAAAGCTTTCTAACACTTTTATTTCCAGGGTTATCTTGAGGAGCTGGTACGACTTAGAGAAAACCAGCTATCTGAATCTGTCTCACAGAATAAACTGCTCCTACAAAGAATTGAAGATATGGATCTAGCCCATAAAATGGAGAAGGAACAGCTGGAATATATCATTATGGAACTGCAAGACCAGTTGTAAGTTAGTATAATGGAAAAACATTGTGAAAGCAGAATTAGTAAATGTATTTAATTCAAATTTAAGTATACAGTACGAAGAACTTCTGATCCTGTGGAAATGAGTCAAACTTAAAGAAATTAATGTATCTCAGCTTTTATTTTTCTTACAATTCTTATACTCAGAAATGCCTCCCTTGGAAAAATGTGTAAATCTGAATAACTGTGAACTTTTTTCTGCAAATCTAAAATTGATTAGACTAAACTTTCTTACATTTTTGACACATTTTTCTGAAATGTTCATCATATTTCATTCCAGCTTTTTGGCTACTCTTAAAAAAAAAAATGACATTATTAGAAATAACTTCCTTTTGAATATTGGTTTTAAAAAGTTAAGCAGGGAACAGGGAGGCAGGAGAGGGCAAAGAACTACTTATTTTCTTTCTTTATATGGGTTCTATTTTATCTGAGTAGGTCTTGCACACGGTAGAAGTTCATCTGGTAGTCTTAAAAATGTTCTTAATTGATGAGTTACTCGCATTTAATGCAATGCAAAAGACTCAAATAACAAAACAAGTCTTAAAACGTTTTAATAGTAAAGGTAACTCTTAATATGTTAAGTGTTCAAGTGTCTTGCACCCCTTAGGCAGTACATCCTGACAGCCCTGTCTTGTTTCTGATAGTTGACAACTCACAATACACTTCTTTGACCTGCCTGGTACGTCTGAGCGTCAGGCAGAAGTGTTACTGGAGGGAGAAGTGAGCTCACTTCAACCCACTTTATTTGGAAGTTTTGAATGCTTCTTTTTAGCTGAGCTGTATGCAATTGAACTGTTGTATAGACATCAATCTTTGGGCTTTAATTTTGGTTGCTGGCTTTTGTATGTAAAGGCTGAAATTGTGGAGCAGCTTCTGTTGTATCTTGACAGTGTGTTGTTGTATAGCTGTTTTGAGATGCTGTAGTCAGGAGCCTGGACTACACTGGATATCTGGGGGGCAGCTTTTTTGCATTGTTATCACCGTGAGTGTTGAGTGCCTGTCAGATGAACCCTTCTTAAACTGTGTTAGGAACTGATGGCTCCTTATGTGGGAGAGGAAAGGGGGAAAGAACAGTAGCTGGTTTCTAATGGTGAAAAACAGTCCTAATTAACATCTTGTAATTGTTCTTCTGTACTTGTATTTTGTTTGCTTTATGTTTTATTTTATTCTATTCTTGACTAAGGATGAAGTGCTGACCTTGCAGCAAAGTATCTTCTTTCGCTAATGTATCTGGACTAATGCATGAGTTTTAGCCAGTTGCTTTTTATGATCAGGCTGTTTTAGAACAGCACTGATGGAATTTCATTCCCAGTCTTTTGCTGTCCTACCATTTGTAGCTTTTTGAAGTCATGAATGTATTCTGTAGTCTCTGGATTCTTTACCAGCAGCCTAGAGCAAGTTTGGGATTGTGATTTTGTCAGAGGCACATAACATTAATGTTTGTAAAACATTGGGGATCTGATTTAGGATTGTTTTCTGTGTAATTGAATTTATTGTAAATAAACATTCTATATTTTCTTTTTAATGTTGCTATTCTATTCCACTGGCTGTTGTTTAAGTAGAAAATTCTACTATGGATTTTTTCTTGAGCATTTATTGATATTTCCAAACTGCTGTTTTAAAGGCATGCAAGTCAGAATGTTTTACATACATTTTCAACAAACTAATGGATTTGGGCAGCCTCTGAGGTTCTGTTTATGTCTGCTTCTGAAAAATAAAAGGAAGGGGGAACTTTCTTGGCAGCGTGGGTTCTTATTGTTGCTGACCTGGAAATGAGATGATGCTGGTGGTCAGCAAGGGCTCAGCTTATAAATTAAATTACCTACAGAAAAGCTTTTCCATATTTATGCTTAATAAGGGAAAGTGGAATATATATGGGAAGGGGAGACTGAAACAGCTTAGAAATCATTTCTATCTCAACAGCCACTATGAGAAAATTAAGAATACTGAAAACTGTAGAACATTGACATTGACTCAGAAGTTTGAGGATTCAAACTACAATAAACAAATTTTAATCTAATTAAAAGCTACTTTATGACGATTTTTGGAAAACAGTGAATCTGAAAATTTCTCTTGTTATTCATGGGAGGAAACAAAAAAAGTATATCACTTAACCAGATTTCTTAACAATATGCCCAGCCATCCGGGGATTGACTATCTCCCTTTGCTGGCAGTTGTTTGATGGCAAATCAGGTTAGAACAGTGGAGCTGCATTAGGCCACCTGATTGTCAGTCAGACCTGTTTAAATAAATCTATACCTGATCAAGAACAGCTTCATCTTTTACCACGCTCTCTGCAGATTAAGAGATTGCCAAGTGATTGTCAACTGGAATAAGGGCAGTGAGGTATATATATATTCTGGCTTTCATTTGCTTTCTTGAGAAATGTTTGCTGTTGCTGTTGCAGTAAGGGGGATTAATTTTATGATTCTGTCACTTCTAGAAGTTTCCAAAGCATGGGACAAATATGATTTTGAAGATATCAACTGTCAAATGTAAATACACATTTCTAGCTGTGGTTTGGGATTCACTAGAGCTTAATTTGGTTGTACCTGTGACCCAGCTGCCTCTTAGTGCCGAAGTTGCAATCTGTACTTCTGCATCACACTGTTGGGTTGGTTTGCTGTTCATTTAATGGCCCAGTAAACAGTACTCTGTTTGCACATGGTGATTGCTTATATCAATTTGAAAACAACCCCATTCTGCCATTACCTGGCACTTCTTGCAGTTCATCATTAGAAAACAGTGCTTTTGGCTCTGGTCTTCTATAAAAATAGTGTCTTTTTTTACAATTGAGGTGGAGCAGTTCTTAAGCCAGTGCTTAAAAGTAACAACTCACAGGAGGACAGCCAAGAGAAGCCTCTGAGCAATGGAATGGCTAACTGAAGAAAACATTTTTATTTTCCTAACATTCAAAATGCAGTGGCAGAGAGATTGATTCATCAGGAAATTGGATTCTGGAATAATCAAAATTGCAAAGGAGACCATTTCTTCATCCTCTGATATCCTGTGAAGAGGTCTTGGATGCATCTTGGAGCAGTGATCTCCAGACTTGTTTGGATTGCACACCCCATCAGTCACAGGACTGACTGGGCAATTCTGGAACTGTTTGCACACATCAACCTTTCTTCTAGCTTACACTCTACCTTTATCTGCAGCAAGATTTCCCAGCTGATCTGTGCTACTTTATAGGTTTAAGTTGATTCTGTATCTGAAGTTGATATTTATACGTTAAGCATTGATGTGTAATTATAAAAGAGATTTCATCAATTTACTGAACAGTGACTCATCTCCTGGATAGTGACTCATCAATGTTATAAAAGCTAATCACTTTAACAAAGAAAATGTTTTAAAATAGAATCCTAAGGAAAACTGAAAGCATTATATATGAAGGCAAAAACCTCAACTTAAAGGATGTATTTCTTTTTCTTCTACAGTGATTTTTGTTCAAATGACAAGAGATTTGTGTAATGTTTACTAACATGGATTTTCTCATAATAGATTTATCAGGTGTTCAGGCTGCTGTGCCTGGTGTAAGACCTCTTTTCAGTATTTGTTAATTTACACATACTGAAAACGTATTCCTCAGTTTGCACTGAGTTACTCTTTTTTTTTTTTTTTTATTTGGCTTTATTTCTTCCAGTGCCACTGTCTTGTTCAAGTGCTTTGTAGAGAGGACAACACTGAAGGAAACTCTTTTGTGGTGATTGTTGTTCTGTCTTTGATTATGGCACAAATAAGAAATTAAATTGTAGGGTCACTCACATATTATGCAATTACACAGACAAACTTAATATGTTTTAGCAGATCTTAAAGTTAGGTGTCCTTAATTTTTCTAGCTGTTACTTAGGAATTATTCAGTCTTTCAAGGCCCAGATAATGTCTGTACTCCATTTGTAATATTTTAATATACTAGACTATAATATAGATCCAGCATCGCAGGTCCTACCTGGATGATAATATATGTATCTATGTAAGACAGTAAACCACAGTTTAGTTGCAATCCTGAAAGGCTATTTGCAACAGTGAAAGCCTTTAATTACAGCGAATACTCTGTACCCTTCTGTGGTACACAGCCTACCACACTGCTGTTTTCCAGGCATTAACTTGTAGAGTACTCTTAACCATTTCCAAAGACAATTAATGCCCCGTATAATTGAAAACTTGCTTATGATGGTTGTGTCTGTGCTTTTCATCAGTTGGTCAACATTGTTTGTGTTGGAGAGCATCAGGAAAGCTGCCACAAGTATTTGGCCCAGGGCAGGGATGGGAGGGTCACGCGTGAAGGCACGAGGCTGTAGGGATGTGGGCTCTACCTCTGCTGTCAAGACCAAAGCAGATGGAAGCTTGTCCAAGGAAATAGAAGCAGAAGAGTCTGAGCAGAGGTTTGGAAATTTAACCTGTGGCTTGTGTCCCCTTGTGAGTAGAACTTAAAACATGCCGTGCCTGGCTCTGTAATCCTCCCTGAAAAGCTAAATCTTCTTGAGAAATAGGAAAGCCTGACTCTTCTTTAGGACTCTTACCTTCATTTTTAGATAGTCCTCTTGTAAAGCTTTTCTGCTTTATGAGAAACTGATTTCCTCAACTTCGTAAGTACAGTAAATCCAATTTGTTACAGCTGCTTTATTTTCTCACTGAAAGGAACTGGGAGATTAGAATTTAATGTTTGATCTCCTTGCTGACTTTCTTTCCTAGAATATCAAAGTTGAGTGCTAATCCTTTGCTTTTAACCTTCCACGAGTCCTTACCATCAGACCATAGTTCCTGTTACCCGCTTCCATGTGTAGTGCATCCCGTATGTTGTCTGTCTCCCGCAGGTTTGCAGCATCACTTCTCAAACCTCAGTATTGCAGTCTGCTGTGTTTTCAGATCCTCGTTTACTCAGCTCGTACTCTTTTTTTAAATAACTTCTTTGAAACGTAGCTTACAAAAAAAATATTTCATATTTCAACAGATGATGCAACTCTTATTTTTGCAGTGTGTTTTGGTTTGGTTTTGTGGAATTCTTTGTTTTAAAGTTTGGTGCGTTATTGTACGCCTGCTCCGCTTCCCAAAGGTGCGGGTAGGGAGCAGGCAGGTCCTGTTTGGAGTGAGGTGGGAACCAGAAGACAGGGAGTTTCCTTTTGGCTTGAAAGCATAGGTAGGAAAAGGTCAGCTGGGTGTGGTGCACGGGCAGACTCCTGCAATTCACAGCATAGAGAGGAGACAAAGCAAAGAACAGAGTCACAGCCAAGCCTCGGAGGACAGAGGATGTGCTATTCTTAGTGCCCAGAGGGATTGCGTGGGGCTCTTGCGCAGCAGGAAGCCAGAAGTTTCTGGGTTGATAGCAACTCTGCAAGATACAGAAGATAGAGTGGGCTTTATTTTTAAATCTTCGTATGTTAACATCTGATTCTGAACTTCTGGGTTTGAAAAAGATTTATATTAAAATACTTAAAAAATTGAAGGTTTTTTATATTATTGGTATCGTTAAGCTTTGTTGGTTTATCTGTAGCAAATGCTGAGTGATTCCAAAGTGAAAAATATCCATTTTAGTAAGGATAGCCTCCTGTGGCTGCACTTCTGTGGTTAAAGGCATTGCAATTAAAGTGGCGTGGCAGGAAAGCTGTAAGTTAGCAAGGCATTTGCACTTCACACATTCCAAATTCCTGCATTTTTACCCAGTGTAGAATTCTAAGTTTGTGAGCAGGGGGAAGTAAGGCCTTCCAAATTATTAATGAATAGTGTTGAACCTCTCAGGGTCACAGGGCAATTCTTTTGCTACAGATCCATATTCCTGGTAGGAGAGCATATTGTGCAGATTGTGGATTTTTTTTTCCTTTGTTAATGTTACCTGAACAGTAGCCAGTAATGCTGCAGAAGAACCTGTACAAGAAATATCAATCTTTTCATGTTTTAATTCCCTTCCAAATACAACTCCAAAGAATTATCCAAACTAGGGGTCTAGAGTACATGAATGTGAGACTTTGATTTTATAAAAGGCTTCAAATAATTTGATACTCGCAGTGTGCACAAACAGGATAGGTAGCATCAGCTAAAAACGGGCTAAACCAATTGAATGTGTAACCATTAGTCCTTAAGTATGATAACAGGGACTGAATTTGATCTCTGTGTGCTTTACCCATTTATATAAATAATCTTGCATTACTGTTTGCTTCTGAGATTCCAATTTTTTTTGCTTCATTTCTTAGCCTTTATTCATTTCCTAGAGGTTTGCTTCTAAAAACTGATAGGAAAAGTTAGTATTTTATAGTGCTTGTGCATTGCTGTGTAATTGCTGTGGACTTTGAAACTCCATCATGCTGTTGTTTTGGTTGTGGGTTTGTTTGTAGCTTGGTAGCCATTCGAGTACCTACCAGGAAGATCATACTGGATTTGTTGTTAATATTATTTAGTTTTATTTTGTTTAAAAATTACATACATTGAAACTAAGTCAGTATCCATATATTTGCTTGTTTCCTTTTCAAAGGAATTCATCTGTGGATAGGTAGTTTGTCTTTATGTAACTGATGTGGAAAAATATATCCCTACAGTTCACTGAACAGCAAATTCCATTTGAGAGGTTATTTACAAAAGGCAAATTTTATAATCTGTCAAAAAAAATAGCTGTTTTCTAGGAGTCCTCCATTTCACAACACAGAATCGAGCTGGTAGTTGAAGAATGGAATTAAAAGCTCTCCTGAACTTTTTCAGTAGTTTGGTTGCAATTCAAGTTCAGTACTTTTTTTTTTTTTTTTGCTTTCTGTCAGACAGTTGCTTGGGTTGTGCCTGTCCTCCTCCTCCAAAGGAGTCAGGCTGGGTTATTTGTGCAAGGACAGCTGTGGTGTTTCTACGAGCACACTCAAACTGAAGCACTGTTGTGTTTCGATCCATTCCGGATGATGTCTGGACTCTGAAATAACATTTCTGCTGTAATTAGATTAGAGGTCAAGAGCCAAGCTCAGGTAGTTCTCAATGTAAGTTTGTCAGAGGAGGCACTCCAAGGGTCAAGGAGATCAAAAGCTCTATGAAATCGCTGACAGTAATTTTATTACTGGAGGATATATTTCAAGATCACAAGGAGATGAGAAAGGACTAAAAAGATTGGTGAAGAAGCATCGAGGGGATCTCTGCTGTGGCACAACTAGTACTGTTGCTGTTAACACACAAAGATCTGTTGGCCAGTCAGAAGCAGGAAGAGAACTGGTGTGGTAGGACATGCCTGCTTTTTTTTCCACTGCAGCGGCTGCCATTAGAAAGTCTGCTGGGAACTAGCTGCTCTGGAGGCAGATTTGGGGAGTACTGTGTCTGTGCACAGGGCACACACCTAGGAGAGTTGATATTTTGCAGCATCAAAATCCACTGGTAAGTAACTCATTTTCATACCTGCTGATCTAATTTCTCAAAGTCCAACGACATACCAGTCCAGACATCTCGCTGTCATGCTGCAGTACTGACAGTTTGAGAGTTCCCTTTTATTTTAGAGTTGCTCTTACAGATTTTGGTTATGTTCATGTATGCTATCAATTTGAGTTTGCATTCCATGTTTCCTGTCCTAAATAAAAGTTTTAAAGCTTGTTCTTTCTTATTCAAATGCTTTTATTTTTTAAGCTTTTATTTTCACTTTTACTTTTCACTACTCAGGTAGTTCTTGAACTGGAGCATTCATCTGATATAATTCCCTTTCTTAGGGAATTAGTCTGTTTCGTTTATTTCCTGTCTTCATCTGCTGGTAGGAGGGCAAATTGCCAACTGGACTGGCATTTTCTGGATTTGGAGAAATTAAACTTGCAGGTAAGAAATTACTGGTTTTTCTTAGGTATAACTGAAAACAGAACTGAGTTGTTTATTAAACAAAAAAAAATCTATTTAATAAATAAATCTATTTAATAAATTTACAGTGAGGTGAATCCAAATTTGATGATCCAGGGAAAATCTTGCTGAAATGAGTCGAAAATTCTAGTTGGTGACCACGATGAGTCTTTTCTATATTACCTTGATTTACACTTGAGATTATTTCTTATTTGTGTTTAAATTACCAGGGGTAATACAGATAGAAAGAAATCAAAGGTAAACACCTTTCTGTATCATTTCCATTTTGCACTTAGTCCTCTTCTCCCCCCTATGAATAAACAAATTAGGTTTTGTTTTAAGCTGCAGATGTGTTAGATGTGTTAAGTGAGGGGGGTCATTTCATATCTTCTGGAGAAGGAGCTGCCAAAAGCAATGTTAGTGCAGGCAGAACCGTTTGTGGCTTTAGCTGATGAATTAAATGCATTTTAAATGTTTCTTTCAAAAAGAAACCTAAAAAGCTCTACCAACAGAAACAAACCTGACCATAGTGAGTGATCCATTCTCTCAGCTCCTGCGTGTTCTGATTTTATCAGAACAGCAGAACAGGTGGCATACAGTGGAGCATGGGTGTAGATGAACTGTAATTTGTTGACTGCATTTTATTATTGCATGTGTACCACAGATAATGATATTCTGCACATCCTTAGGAAATCATTTCAGAACTGTAAGTTATGAAATAAACATCTCAAGATAATCAAAGTTGAGTAAATCAGTGAGTAAATATTCTGGAGAGCACCTTACTAAGGCACAACGTGTGAATGCTGCTGGAGGAGATGTTCATCAGGAGATTTCACTGATATCTTTTCCCTACTCCTTAAACAAATAAAAAGTCAAAAGCACATAGAGGTGTTTGCTTCTCTAAGTAGAGAAGATGCCAGTCAGTGGATGGAGGAAAATAAGTTCACAAGCATTCACAGACGATAATTTTTTCATGGCCAAACTAGCTGATGTACCATAAATCAGTTTAAGCCCTCTGCTCTCGTAATAAATTCTCACACATTCCCTCCCTACTGTACACCAAACTTTCTGCACTCCATGGTCTCATCATGTCAATCCTCTGTTCAGCCACGTCCCCCGTGCTGCCTTTCATTGGTTCGGACAGTCATGCGATCTGTTACTGATATGCACTGGAACAACTTTGTGGCTGAGCTGATTGTATTTAGAAGCCATTGTTCATCACTTCTTTTTGACTTTCAATTTTTCAATTTCCGGTCTGACAAAAAGAGGCTTAACAGCTTGTTATAGATGCTTGTTTGCTTGTTGGCTTGCTTACTCGAAAAATTGGTCCTATTTCCTTCTCTTTTAATGTCTTTAAAACCCTTTTGTTTCCTTGTTCTTTTCCTCTTCCCTTTTTTGAACTTACCTACTTGTACTTCTCTGTTTAAATATCTTATCCAAACCATATCTTAAGTCATCACAGCTACAAAGTCACTAACAATAGAAGAGTATTTTATTGAATTTTAAGATTGAATTTTGTTTAAAATCAGATCTGTATATTCAATCTTCACTATTATTCTTATAATATTTTATGGATTTTGTTCCATGTAAGTGATGCTTATGAGTTATGATAAAATATTTCTTACAAAACCTCTGCTTGGAAACTTGCTTTCTTAGTCTACAGGCATTCAAGCCACTCTGGTTTTCAGCTGGTGTGGGAGGTTAGCAACAGCTGGTGCTCCTTACCAGTGGCTCATTCTGTGCAGCAGAGGTGGTAGGGTAAAAGTTGCTGTACATACACAGTCCCAGTTCAGTGTCTTTTACTGCATTTACCTGCTTTCACTAGCATTCTATATAGAATATCAGATCAGCATCATTGTGTTTGTGAACTTTTGTTGCCTGTTTGCCACAGATTTGGAGTATTTCCCTGTCAGGATCCAAGGAGTTCCTTTGTGTGTGTGTGTAAATAACAGAAAATACTAACTCTGCACTTTATTCTTGAATGTTTTGTGAAATATATAAATTTCACTGATATTCCTATGAAATGTATATTCTGATTTTTCCTCAGAAGGCTTTTATACACCAAACTTACGTTGCTATACTGTCAGATGTACAAGTTTCAATAACAATATCCTTTTTACTGCCCAGCTGTTCAGTCAGCATGCAGAGGAAAGCTCCCAGTCTTCATTGCAGTCATGGTGATTATTAAGAAAAGCTCTACTTCAGCCACTGAAGTAGTGCAGCCCAGAGCTGATCAGCACTAGTTACAGTGCTTGCTTTTGGAGAAACAGTGCTGCTGTAGACATTCAGTCTGCATTGCATAAATTGTCTTTTGAGGCCTTTTCCAGAATGGCTCATTTTACCAATACGTAGGGTAGGGCAGTGCTCAATGCTGTTGTGTCATTTTTCACTTTGAGCATTTTGCATTTGCATGCTTGTTTCCACTAAAACTTGATCGGATTTCCTTCCTTTTTAACTTGTGTGGTAAACACTTTTGTGTCCATTTCTTCTTTTTGAAAGCCTGTGTGATATCTCGTGATGGCTAAGCTTTAAGATAATGTAAGCTGTGCATTTTAATGCTTTGACTCTTACAAGTCTGGTTAATATGTGTGAAATTGTAGGTGCCTTTCTTTATCTTTGGAGAACAACTGTTTGCAGGCTATTAACAAGGCTTTGCTGCAGCTAAATCTTACTGTGCTTTAAAAACGACTGTGAGAAGACAGACATCTAAATAACTTACAAGGTTGAAAGAATGGATGGGCTCTACTGGCACCTGCTACGAATACTTTCTCTTACTACTTATTGCCTTATTGCTTTTTTGTGAAAGCTACATACTGTGGTGAGGCTGATTTTGTATATTCAAAATTATTTTTACATGTAAAATAATGTAACAAGAGAAGAGAGAGTTCTGTATCCAACTTGCTGCCTATTTCCCTGCCATGCAGAAAGGGTGAAATTACTGTAGCATGAAGGTTTGTGGGACCAGCCCCAGTATAGAAGCCCATGTAAAATACAGAAGCTCCGCTATTACCAACTTGCCGGCACATGTGTGCTTTGTTCTCCTTGCTCAGCATGTTCATTTATTCAGAACTTAACGCTGCTGCTGAGTTGTGTGGAGTTGCCCGGATGGGAATTCACAAGTACATGTTGCATGTGTATGAGTTTTGTTAGTTACTGTGTGTGTAGCTGGTAATATAAACAGGGTGTCTTCCACTGAAAAGTGGACAAGTCCTTCTGGGTGAGGAGGTCGTATAGACAGACCAGCTAGCAAACCTCGTCATCACTTGATTTGCTTTCCTCAAACCTTTAACAATCCCATGTAGCTCCAGGTACCCTGTGGGATTAGGGAAATACCCAGGGAAGTGAGTAGCACACAGGATGATTGAGATTTTGGAGGGCAGCAGGCCATGGAAGTGGTTCTTCTATATATGCCTTAGACAGCAGAATGTGAGGGATGTCCCAAGGAGGAAAATGTATTGTTTACTTGAGTGAAGGCTGAGGGAATTCATCGTCTTGAGAAAAATTTCCTGAACGTAGCGTTGTTTACTCTGTTCCTTGAACAGCTCCTCTTGCAAAATTGCTGTCTATCTGCCTCCTTTTTCGAATTCAGTAACTAAAGATTACTTGATGAACTTATTATTGCTTCACCTTGTTTTTAGGGGTATTTTGGCTCTTTGTGTAGGATTATGTCTCCTTACCGAATGATGTTCATGTCTATAAACAGTTCAAATACCACAAGAGTAAAAGCTCCATTGTAAAAATAAATATACTGATAGTAATACTCATGAATCCATTCAGTGTACACGTATGATCAACAGATCTTCAACTTGCTGTGCAGCTTGGTATTTCAGATACAACATCATATTTGGCTTTCAACTGAGTGCACTCAGTAGGGAGATACTGTTACACAGGTTGTGTACTTTAGGGCACGGATACTCAAAGGTTGTTAAGCAGCTTTGTACTGTTGCCTGGTAATTTCCCAGTTTGGTGATTTATGGGCCAATAAGCAATATTACTTGTGTTTCTGAAGTTATGCTACTACACAAGCATAGCTTGGAGGTTGCCTTATGCTACTGGAAAAAGGCTGGCATTGTGTTGAAGCCTGAAGAACTGTGTACTTTCCTTATTTCTGCGTGATTTTTAGCAGGTGATTTCTGATGGTAGTGTACTAGCTGCCTCATTTCCAAAACTTCAGGAAACTAATCTGCTTCGTGAGAATAAGAGGCAAAACTAATTTGAGTAAGGTACTTCTGTTAATGCCTTTTCAGTAATTTAGAAACAAAGTTCACTAAAAGCTGTAAGGTGGCACAAAGCAGAATTATTACATGTATTTTACCTGGAAGCTTGTAACAAAGTCAGTATGTCTGGTGTTCTCTTCATTCTGCAGGAATATTTATTTGGGAGTGGGGAGAAGGCAGGTTGCATTTCAAATGCCCTAAAAATTGGAGTAAAGAACACAAAGTTCTGATTGTTGGGCTGCAAAGTAGAGTCATAGAACAGGAAGGAATGGAAGGACCCTATAAATCATCTATTCCAGCCATCCTGCCGTGGGGGGAAAAAAGTTGGTCTGTTAATTATCATCTTCCCGGCAGAAAGCATTTTTACAATGCTACTGCTTTCTTTTAATACTATTTAATACTTTTATTTAATGCTGTTTTAATATTATTTAATCTTTTTCTGTTACTAAGTTGCTTCTGAAAACTGCAGTCTGTCATTTTATTTTTTATTTTTTAAGTAGAACCTTGACTGGGGCATTTAGTAGGTATGCTGAGATCTACTGTTTCCTATGTTTGCAGGACTGTGCTAAAGAATAATGACTTGAGATCAAGACAAGAATTGACTACTCACCTCACCAATCAGTGGCCTTCCCCAGGAGCTCTGGATGTCAATGCTGTTGCCTTGGACACTCTACTCTATAGGAAGCACAATCAGCAATGGGATGAGTAAGCTGAATTGTTTGACTTACCTTCAAAGAAACAGAGAAACTGAAAATGATACGTTTCCCTTAGCATACTCTTAAGCATATCCTACAGGAATAGCAAGTTACGATGCACAAGGATCAGCTAGCATAAAAATTTCCTTCCTTTGAGTTAATTAAAAAAAAAAAAACAAACACAAAGAAAAAACCCCTTGCTTTAGAAAATAAAGTGTTTTAGAAAACACAGAAGAGTTATTAAGAAAAGAATGATTTTTTTTGTTATTTATCAAAAAAAACTTCTAAAGAAATATTTCTGTTGAGATCATTAGGTGTGTTGATATTAAAAATTATTATTTATTTTACAGGAAAAGTTTTCAAAGTTTGGACCAACTTTCAGCAGACGTCAGCCTTTCTCAAACCTCTCTGGATCCAGGTCACTCACAGGACGGAAAGCAGGATGGAATAAACTTGTTAAACGAAGGTATGAGATGCATCTTCGGTCTGGGACATTGGACTGCATGTTTTCTCCATTATTACGCAATTTTTTTCAGTTTCTCTAAGGGCCATCGTTAACTTCCAAATAAGTTTGCATTTATCAAGTCTGTTCCTTGACTCCCAATAATTATAGGACTTTGTGCTGTATTGAAGGCCAAGCTTCAAATGTGTTTCTTCTCCATCACAGAACCTGAGAAAGGCGTCTTCCTCCTATAGCTAAATGAAATATTTAAAGTTACTTTTTCCCTTTTCTGGATTATCCCAGTGGTGATCCCATTCTGCTCCTCTTTCGAAAGAGAAAACTTAAAGGAACGTGCTGTGGGCAGTGCTAACATAGAAATGCAATACACTGTCCCCTTCAAAATCTGTGTGTATACAAAGTTTACCTGCTCCATCTAGTGGGCAATTGTGAAAAGCAGAGAAATGCTTGGAGAACTTGTGGAACAGCAGTATTTTGGGCACAGAAGTGAAACTGATGTAAGAAATTTCCTGTATCTCACAAGATACCAAATTCATGCAGACATTTACTTGTTCATAACTTCAAAATTCTTGACTTTAAAAATACTGTGAATGCAAACTTTAGAACTTTTTAAAAACGGTGAGCAGAATTAAAGTCTAAATGTTCCAAGTAGTGTAGAAAAATAGAAGCAGCATGTCTGTTATGAAGAGCGTTCTTCTGCTGATTCACTTCCAACAGCTGAGTGTGGGGTTTTTGTTTTGTTTTCAGTGTTAATCTTTTGAAGTTTATACTTTCTTTTCCATCAATTGAGATGTAGTGACAACTCAAGTATTGTCTTAAGTTTTGATTTCAGGACTCTGTCTTCAAAGGAGGCATGATGACCTACTTCTAAATGAGTGAGGTCCATCAGCACCAAAGCCTTAAGTAAGACATGATATCTTACCAGCAGGATCGCATGCCCCCTGTGTACATCTCAGAGTGGCAATCTTTCATGTTACTGTTGAACAAATTGTGTAGTCAGGTTTTATTTTCACATGAAGAGTTCAAGAACCATACCTAGAAAGTGTGAAGCTGTTCTTGGTTTATGTCCTCAAATAAATTAGAATTCTTAAAATGTCATTTTAATGGAGATTTTTCTAAAAATGAAGACTTCCTAAGGAGTTGTCTAGTTCATTCTTTAGGAAGGCTCTTTGGTCATTTGAGAAAAGCTCAGTAGAAGAGGGATCTAAAATCCGTTGGAAACTGCTAGTGAGAGCTGTATGCAATGCAAGTGAACCATGTCTGTTTGTTTTCCAAAATTGCTTGAGGCACGGTATCCTTTGTTATTTTTCTTGCATCCTTCTTTACAAAAATGAAGTGTTTCTGTCAGGAAAAAGTCGCAGAGTTTTAATAAGTGCTGCTTTTTAGACGTGATTTAAAAAGATTGGTCAGGTGAAGTCTTATGCCTCTGACCCTTTTAAGCTGCTTTTAAACTTAGTTTAGGGTGATCTATTTTATTCTGCAGGTAATCCAGAAAGATGAAACAGGGAGATATATTGGTAATCAGTTTCTTTATAACATTATTTATTAGCTGAATTGGCACAAAATAACATGCCTCAAGTTACCAAGAGTTTAAATAAATAAATAAAACCAAACATGTTTACTTTCAAAGCAATGCATTCTGATTCCAGTTAGTTCTAATCCTATTCAGTTCTATTCAGAATTAGCACTGGGCTGTTGATGATGCATTAGTGAAATCATTTCCATTTAGTGTACTCAACTAAAGGCAGTGCTTGAATCAGTGTCTTCTGAGCCTCTCTTTGTGGGAGGCTAATTACAGCCCAGTCAGTGATGCAGAGGTAGGAATCTCTATTCCACATCAGTGGGGAAGGTTGGAATTAATGATGTCTGAGTGCATTTGTGAGGTATGTATGTGCTGAAGCAGTAACATATAATTCATACTAACTTAAACGAAACTTTTTTTTTTTTTATTCCTTTATTTTTTCGTGTTCAGATCATCTTTAGTTGTGATGATTGGCTTAATTCTTGTTTTTTTTAACAGGAAAGGAGGACACTCCGTCACTGCTTGGTCTTTGTGGTTCTCTTACTTCAGTGGCAAGCTACAAATCTCTCACAAGTCTGAAATCAAGTGAATATCTTGCAAGTCCCACGACAGAGATGACAAGTCCAGGCTTAACACCATCTTGAGATGCACACAAGCAGGAAGGACTTTATGTTGTATGCATTTGGTTTATGTTCCACAATATGACTTCCAATGAAGACTGCTAGTTCAAAGGCAAAAATAAGCTGCTTTATTTTTTCTTCTCGTGGTTACCTGTTTAATTCTCCAAGTTTTCATTCCAGCTTTTCTTCCCCCCGAGGGCTTTTTCAAATTTCCTGCTTCAGTCCTGAATTGTTTAACTCTTGGTCAGGTACAGCACACGCATTCTGACGCTTCTGACTGATTTTTAAAATGAAGCACTTGGAAATCAGTCTCCTACTTAACTGCCACAACCTTTGTTTCTCCTTGCAGTGGTTATCAGCCTGGCTCTACTATAGCCTGGTGCTTCTCTTCAGTGCTCTAAATATCAACTCTTGCAGAAGAGACAGGAAAACTTAAAGCCAGTCTTTGTAGGCAAATAAATATTTTACTTAAAAATCCATATTTTCATCTGTGTGTGTTGCATAGGACCTCAAATAGCGTATTTAACCTGTCAAGAGCTCTTCTCAAGTTGATTCAGTGTTAGATTTTGCATTCCTATTAGCATCATGGCAGTAATGAGACAGCTGAATCACACTGAAGAACCACACTGAAGCACTCTTAGTAATTCTTGAAGTTGCATGACAGTAACAAATGTAAGTTGATCATCTAAGTCAAGCATACTTAGCAAATTGTAAATATTGAGGAAGCTTGCCAAATTTCAAGCTTTTGAGTGACCTGGCTTACAGATAATTTAATATTATATGAGAAATTTCTTGGCTTATTGATCTTACTGGAAAAAGAGGGACTGAGGAAGATGGGGTTAGCTCCTTGCAAAGTTTGGCTCGTATTTATTGGCAAGATTACAGTTACAGTTGGTTTGCCTCTTGTAATGGTACCTTGGCACTACTACAACAGTCTGGTCATTGTAAGGTGGGCTGGAAAGAAAGAGCATTCACTCTCACCTTTACAAAAATCACTGAAAACATTCAGCTAAGCAGAGTGAAAAAGGGGAAATAAAGGCAATGTAATGACAGTATTCTCATGCTAAGGGTTGTTCTCATTTCTGTAGTAGTGCAGTAGGTATTTTCCTTGATTAGGTAATACAGCAGAACGTACTTAGGTCAGTTTTCTCAAATTATTTGCCATTGATTTAAATTACTGATACAAACAGCCTGTAACATTTTTTTAAATGAAACTAACTTTCCAGATTAGTCTACAGTTTCAAAGTTTGCAAACTAATTTTTGAATTGCAAACTATATTCTTAATTCTTTGTAAGATATAATGGATCCTTTATCTAAGAATTTTGCTAATCAAGGTAATGCTTCTCAATATGATTAGTAACTTTTTAAACAAATCTTAAGTGCATGTAAGTATGTTGTATTTATAAGTGCTAGGGAAAATGCTTTTTTTGTGCCAAAGAAGTTTCATAAATTGTTTACATGATAGTTGCAATACAAGACAGATTTTCAATTGCTTACTCTCAGATGTTTACAGTACGTCACTACACTGTATGGTTTTAGTTGGTTTGCCTCTTGTAATGGTACCTTGGCACTACCACAATAATCTTCTCGTTGTAGGGTGGGCTTGAAAGAAAAAGAATTCACTCTCACCTTTACTAAAACCACTGACAGCATGAGCCTCACGCTTAGAGAGGCTGAAGTCTCTGTAACTTGAGGCACTGCTGGATTTTGATGCGTGTGGTTCAAGATGTATCTGCTGAGCTCCAGCCCATGGTGCTGGAGGTTACTGTGTCCATGGAGAAAACAAGGGTGGAGGCCATTCCTACAGGAAGTTTTACAGCGGCTTAGCAAAATCCTACAGGCCTTATTTTTTTTAATCCCTCATGAAACCATTCAATTAATTTCTCTGTAACGAACTCAAGAGTATCACATCCTTTCACACGCTGTCAGAATGTCCATTCCTTCTTGTAACTGTTTTTGGTTGTTACACTTAAGTACCTGTTCTCTCCTGGTAGTTGAGTAACATTAAATACTGATTTATAAGTTAAAGAGTGCATGTCTACTGTGAATACAAGGGAATCCAGATTCCAAAGTTAACATCCTCCATCGAGGTGTAGTGATTTAATCAGTCTTGTTTGCTGTTAAATGCTTCTCCCACTTCATCAGTGTTTTGGAGGGGACTATGATCATGATCTTCAGTCATGTTAGCTGATGGCTCTTTTCTTGGAGCTACTGGTGTGAAATTCACGTGTCATTTAACTGAAGTCTTTTATGTAGTCTGACACTGCTGTGAGTTTCTGGGTGTCATTTTGTGCATGGGAAATCAGCTGTGTGTCTTTCTCAGTTTTAAACATTAATCATTTTTCAGAAAAAAAAAAAAAAACCCACACTGAAAAAATGCCCAAACTGTATGTTTTGTTGCCTTGACGTTCCATGAATGTTGCATGTAAATTAAACATTTTGTATCATCGTTCATCACCAGTTTTTGTCTCTGTTTTAATCAAACAAAAGGTAAAATAACAGCATTTGGCAAGTCACAGTATTAGTGAATTTGCAGCAAATTCTTTCTCAGACAACAGAGATGTTGTTGCTGTATCCCATGTGCGGCCCAAAATCTGCTGTTACGGCTTTTTGTCTTTTGGTTCTCTTGGCTCTTTTGACTATAGAAGCTCAAAATAAGGTGTAAACTTACTTTTATAATCACAACAGGAGGAACAGTGTCACATGTCTACCACGGCAAGAGGTCCTGCCTGCACCATACGCTGTAAACTTCTTGCCTAATGTCTCTCCCCACAGATAAGGCGTTTTCAGAGTGTGTGCTGAGTTTTTACCAAGGCGAAACACACACTGGGACGCCTTCAGAGTAGAATAAGACTTTGCTGTCTGTGCAAACTATGCATGGGAAATGCTCCCTGGAAGGGAGCCTGCCTCTGTCTTGGAGCTTTTCTGGGATCTACAAGGTGTTATGGGGGGGTCACAAACATGTGAATGTTCTGGAATGTTCCTCCAGCACACTAGCACAGCTGGTTTCAGTGCCTAGGTGTGCTTCCCAGTAACAGCATGCACTAAAAATATTATCTTGAACTAAAAAGCCACTGCAGCACTTGGCAGTGGATTCGTGATGTTCTCTGGGATTCTAATAGCCACTATGTTTCTTCCAGCTTGACCTGAAACACTTCTTGTTATAAATAAACCTGAAAATCAAAAGTATCCATTTGCACAAATTATGGAGCTGCAAATAAACATTCATGCAATTGAAAAGGTATTAAGCAAGCTTAAGCTTAAGCAAATTGAATTTACTCTCTGTCAGCCTCCTTATGGAGATGTCTCTTCCTTTGGGCTACCTACAGTATTGTCTAAACATTACTTTAAACATCCAACAAAATATTTAGTCAGACTGAAGATTAAGAGTGGCAATTGTTATTCTTCATCATTTTGGCCAGGCTTCTTTTTTTCCTTTTTAATCATCACTGAGGAACAGTCCAAGTGCCTTTTTTTTTTCCCCCCCCTTTGTAGCAGCAAGAGAGAACTCTCAAAATTTTCAGTAACCATTTCAAGGCCGTGTATTTTTCTTAAGGGGGAAAAAATAGCCAATTTCTCCTTTGTGAAATAGTGAAAAAATGAAGTTTCTCCATGTGTTTCAACTTCATGCAATTGGATGAAGGAGTCTTAAGGATGCTGGTTTGTCTTTTCATTTAAATGTCTGAAGAAAGCCTTCCCATATTCATATGTGCTGATCATTATGGCACAAGAAGGAGCAACTTTAAACAGCCGTGGAGTAATACCTGCCCAGAAAAGAAAGGAAAGCATTCATTCTCATCTGTTTTCACATGGAATCACTCTAGTGCCATTAAAAGGTCATATTATATTGATTCCAGACTATAGCACTGTAGCATTGGGATGTTCTTTGTGTCCACGTTTCTCAAAATAGCAGTGTTACTGATGAGAGACGTTACCACTGTAAGGACATTATGCCCTCACATCCGTCATCTGTGCAGGCTGCCTGACTGAAGCACCGCCTGTTTCTGCCTGCTTGTCTTCCCACAGAGGTGGAGCAGCCCTACCTGCAGGCTGCTGTGCTCCAGGCCAGCAGAGGTGGCTATGGGGGCAGGCTGGGCCCTCCCTGCAGCATCAGTGCAGAGCTGCTGGCATAGGAGGAGCAGAGACTAGTGGCCTCTCAGCTGGGACGAGACATTCAAGAAGACAGGGACACGATTCCCTCTGCATGTGTGCACGTCTGTTACTTTGTCTGTTTCTTTACAATCTGTTCTGTGACAGTGACTGTGTGTGTTCACAAAGATGGAAATACATAATTTGTGCATGCTAATATCTAACAATGGCTTGTTAATAATCAAGAAATTTTAGTGTGATTTTTTAGAAAGATGTCAAAAGATTTACCAGCAAATAATCCAGCAATCCCTTTTTGAGCAACAATTTTCCTCATAACTGCCCAGGTAGACGCACAGTCCCTCTGTGGATCTCAACACAGTACAACAGAACAGTGAATTAAACAGTACAGACAATACCACAGGAAAAAAAAAATATTAAAAATCAAATGTTGCTTTGGATGCAATGATAAGCTTCAATTTATCTTAACTTATAATTTAGGTATGTATATGAATATGAAGTTATTTATATAGAATGTTAAATTCATGCAGTATGTAAATTAATATTGAAGTTAAAATAGCATGACATAGAAAAAGATCACAGTAATGCCTAGAGTAAATTCTACAGAGACAATATTTGCTACTGGAGTAACTGACATAACTGAAAATATTGCATAGCTTTCACATGAGCTTATCTCACTGCAGGTCACTTTATACATGCAGCTAAAAGATCGTTTTCAAAAGTGAACTTGTGTTTTATGGTAAGGTGGATCTAAAGGTAAGTTTTGAGAACTGATATAATGAGTCATAAGAATGAGAGTAATAATTAAGGTAGGACACTTTGCAGATGTTACAAAAGCTTGAAAAGTCTAAGTTGATGAAAACCATCTCACACCCCCAAACCATATATGTTTGAGAAATGGTGGATCTATGAGATGTAGGCTGCAGGCCCTGGTAGAGATGATTCAGATACCGCGAGCAACTGCACCAAGAAGCCATCTGCATTGCAGACATGTGCAGCTGCTTTAAACAGAGGAGTTTTTTGTGGTACTTCACTCTGCACGTGCTGTTTTCCTTGATCTGTAATATGGAAGAAGCCAAGATCTTATTTTTTAGATAAAATTTCATAACATGCATTTATGAGGAACATCCTACAGCATCTGGAAGCTGTGAAGTATTTTGGCAATAGTAGAGAAACTGTAGATGCGTTGTCAGGATCCAGCTCTGACAACAGCTGCATTTGGAAAGAATGCAACCAATACCAGTTAGAGATTAGCATACTGAAATTTAAAACATATATCTAATTCGTATCAGCCAAATAAATATTAGGCAGCTAGCTGTGATTCAAAGAGGTGTTCAAAGAGCAACGAATTCCTACATTGATCAGTGCAAGGGAAGAATCGAAACACAGTAGCAATTTGTATTTGACTTTATAAATCTCAAGCAGTTCCGCAGAAGAAACATAAATGTCTTTTAAGAATTACACCAGAAAAAAGATATTTTACCTAAGAGAATGAAACCTTATGCCAAAATGCAATCAGTGTGTTTTCATGATATCTTTCTGGACGAGTGCCTTTAAATGAGCTTCTAAACAGAACCTCATTTCTGGTTACTCCATCTTTCTACTCTTATTTCATCTTAAAGCCATGATCTAACTTGTGTTCAGGTTAATAGAAATCCCTCACTGATTCCCAGGTAATGGAAAGCTATATTTTCACATACAACTTGAATTGCTCTAAAAACGTAGTGGTGCTCTACTGAACAGAGCACAAAAAGAAGAAATCCCTTTGTCCTTTAAAATTGATGGGGTAATTACGGACATGCCCTCAAAAATCATTTCTTTGAAATCACACACCAAAAAAATGGTTAAAAATACATAACCTGAGCAAAGAAAGCACTTTTTCTGTAGCTTAAACTCTAGCAAAAAAACAATATTGTTATTAAATAAAATGTGTTAAGAGTTACACGGCTGTTTTTATTTTCTAGTATCAACTGGTAGTGAATGTGCAAACATTTTTTCATGTGATTTTCATCAACTGAAAAGACTTTCAATAGAACCCAGTTCACATGTATGTTTTATAAGAGCTGAAATATTTCCCCATTCACATAAGAACGTCTGTAAGTTGACAGTGAGTCTGCCTTACTGTAATAGTTCTGGATTTTCTGTTTTAATTTATATCACATATTATTACGAGTTGTACTTTCCTCACACCTTTTCCCTCTGTGTCATTTATGAGATACTGTTTTTATCCTAGGAGATAAGTATTATTGTACAAAGTGTTTCAATGTGGAAAAGACAAAAATGCTTAGTGGTATCATAGAGAAACTGAAGAGATGAATATTTGAAGTGCCTATCAAAAATCCATATACCTAAGTATTATGTCTTTTGGGTTCTGTTTTTTAAATTGCGGCTAGAAGAATCAGCTTCACTGCATTTATTAAACATGTGGATTATTACTAAACAGTTCTGCAGGAATTGCTGAGCAACCCAATCTTCAGGGAATTCTGAGTGTTCAACAGCAGACGTGGTTAGCAGACAGGCTAAAAACAGCTGTTTAACAATGTCGTGACCTGCAACTTACTTTGTAAAGTCTCACTCTCCCAAATTTCAGTCTGCATCTGTGTTTTCACTACGTCAAATGGCAGAGTCACGACAGCTGCAATCTATTAGGAAAAATCAAGCCACAGTTCTACTGTTAGATTACCAACAAGTAAAAAGTCATTTTTTTACATTAAGCTGCGCACAACTTAAAATTAGTTTAGTTATTCCAAGCACGTGATCATCTTGTAGGTCCTTTCCAACCCTGAGGTGCTATGGTTCTATCATTCTATGATCATTTCTGAGAGAATCATGTAAAGCCACTTCACTTGTAAGTAGATAAATAGTTGGTTAGTGACGATAATAAGAGTAGCAGTAGAAACAAAAATGTGTACTTACACAGCCCGATGCTGCTCCTGCAGTAAAAGCAATCACAAAGGTTGGTTCACGTGCACCTGCACTCTTGCACATCATCTTCTTGAAACGTTCATAATTATACCAGTACACTGCTGTGGTCATAAAAAGCAAATCCAAAAGAAACAAACCTTGTACTACAACACATTTGTATTTCGGTTCAACTTTTTTATCAGTGACAGACGTAAGAACTCTACAGCAGTAATAGAAGCAAAGACAAACCAAATTTGAAAGGAAACCAGAATTGTTCTCTTTGACAGTCTATCCAGTTCACCTTATCTCCATACACATATTCCAAATTTCATACGATACAAATTAGCCAAATCATTTTGTCATCCCCATAAAATATCTCCTATCTTAAGACAATCCAACATAAACATTACAAAACTCATAGAACAGAGTATTTTAATGTGATATTCCATAAATCAAAATTGAAGTTTCTAATTATTTTCCATGTTTTCAGGGATATTTCATATATTTCATAAACCTTGGTAAAAACAAAAATGTGCTTCATAGAAGATGAAAGGTTCCTCAAGCCTGTCACATATTCTTTTGGACCATACTATATAACATTTAATTCTGACACAACCAAGAAATATGACTTTGCTCTCTGGAATTACTGAGGAAAGACTTGCCTTCCACAGTCCTCGCAGAGGCTTTCTGAGGAAAAACTTTCAGAAGTAACATCTATTTTTGTTCTCTTCTGCTGCAATAAGCTGCACTCTTTCTACTTTAATAAATTTTAGTTAGAATGCAGAAGTTACTGAGCTGAGTTACGGAGTGCTTCCTTGTGCAGTTGGCCGAATACATACAGCAAATGAGAGGTGTGCACCCTAAAAGATAGCTGGGACTCATTCAGCACTGAGTTCTGCATCGTGTGGTGGTGGAGAAATATCAAAGTATTTTCTTGCTGTGGAAACCAAGCTTCCAGTAGTTTGCAAAAGTAAATTAGGCTGTATCTCAGAGATTGGGAAAACTTACTATTGAAATACATGTAACCCTAATTTAGTATAGATTATCTAAATCCAAACTTAGAGCATGTGCAACACTCCATTCCCTCCATACATTTCACATGTATATTCTCTGCAACATTGCTTGATAACTCAACTGCTACTGTTAATCCAGCTCTTGTGCTTCTATCAGATACTCACACCTTGAGTTTTGTGCAAGTCAGCTTGCTGTCCAAGGAACACTGTGGAAGCTATCATTCACACCTGGGTTAACACAGTGGGACTCTATGCTGTGCTGCTAACACTGTCATTCTGTGTTACTTGAGAGTTCTCATGGAGCAGCTGCTTTCTTAATACAAACTGTTGCACTGACTTTAATTCCTCTAGAGAAAGCTAACTGCAGCTTTCTCAGAAGGTGAGGACTGCTGTAAAAATACCAGAACCCATGATGCTGTTGGTGTATCATTCAAAGAGAAGGTAATAAAGGAGCATATCTTAACTGCAGAGAGAGTATTTATAAGGAAAAATATTCAGAAAACACATTCTGAAACATTAATCAAGATTAAATATTCATCATTTATATCATCAGCTTCGAGGCTTAGATACAAGAATGTGAAAAGAGTAGAGAGCACACACATCACCTTGGTTTCCTCCCCTTTGTGCACTCTCATACCAAACTGATCATTCCACTCTGTTAAAAGCATCAGAGGGAAAGACAACTGGCTCCTGCCATGTCTCTACAGACAAACATCAGTAGTAGAGCAAGAGTTTCTACTTGTAATCAGACAGTAAGAATGAGAAGAAGAATTTTAGAATCCTTTTTGAAGCTCTAAGAGAAAAATGCATTTGGCAGACAGAGAAAATGAGCAAATTGCAAATAAATATTGGACAGGAAGCCCTTCAAGCAAAGGATGGATTTTGAATACTGTTCTCTTAGTCTTAAAGTGTTTGTTCACATGTTCAGAAGCCTTCCTTATCATGTAATGTGAAATCAAGTCTCATCAAGGAACAGCATATCCTTAAGAAGGAAATGCAGCATAAGTACTTTGTTTAAATATCTACCAGTAGCAAAGCAAAAGAAAAAGAGTATTATTCATATTGAAAACAAAACACCTGAAATAGCAGTTATGTAAGTTAGCAGAACTAAGTGCAGCTCTAAGCTAAATATCTGAAAATGGGTTTGAAGCATTTCTCTGGACCAACACAAGGTGTTTAAAGGTGTGATTCCTGATACCATCCAAAGGACAGAGACAGCTTTGAGAACAACTACTGCCCAGTTATTCCCACGTGCCCTGATAATGAAGGGCCTCAAAGAGACATGGCTTTTAACCACTGGCATTACTAAGTTGGAACACTGTCCTTCAGCGCTCTTGCCCAATTATTTCCAAATGCAGAGACAGCAGAGCTTTAGCAAAATGGGAGAACACGTGATCTCCTTTGTCCCAGTTATCTTGCAGTATAGCACTGGGTCAGACTTTTCCTGTAGACTTTCAGCTTTGAAGCTGCACTGCCAAGTGGTGCTCTAGTTTCATCTTTTCTGAACAGTTACACAAACTCATTCATCTTGCTAGCAAAAATGCCTGAAGATACTCACTACTGTGTTGCCCTGTCCTTGTACATTTTTTCAAGATCAAGCATCAGAACACAAATACAGAATGTCCCTCTATAAAGAAATAGCCAGCATACCTATTGTAGAGAACATTTCCTACAAAAGCCTTAAAAACACACATTATGTAAGATGAAACAGTCTGAACACAGGGAAAGGGAAAAGTAACACTGAACACAATCTGGCATCCATAAACAAAATTACAAACACTCAAAAGAGAAAAAGTAAATCTATTCTTAAAGCTAATCATTTTTGTAAAATAACATAAAAATACAAAAAACTATGCAAAAGAATCATGAAAAAAACCTATCTTACACGATGCAGACTTTTATCTGAAATAAACCCCACCTGAGAAAGGCACATCTCTCAGAACACTAGTGCTCCAGCCTCTCCACAGGGAAAGCCACCCTTCTCTGGCCACTTTACTCCTGATGCTCAAGTGCAGTTGCTTGTAGGACAAGGTGTGATACTGCATTCTAGTTCTGATCAGCTCCAATGGACTCACTACTGTAACTGAACCAACTGAAAATGAGAAAAATGTGGGGTTTTTAAAAAATCAAGATTTACAAGTAACATTTCCTGAACATTAGAAGTTAAGTCTCACGTTGCCTTATATATCTGATGAAAAGAACCATAGAATGTCTTGGGTTGGAAGGGACCTTAAGGACATGTAGTTACACCTCCCCAGCCATGAGCATGGACACCTTTCCTATATCCGGCTGCTCAGGATCCCATCCAACCTGGCCTTGAATGTTTCCAGGGATGGGGCATCCACAGCCTCTCTAGGCAACTTGTTCCAGTGCTTCCCCATTCTCATGGTGAAGATTTTCTTCCTAATATCTAACCTAAATCTACCTTGTTTTAGTTTAAAGCCATTATTCCTCCCTGTCCTACCACTACAGTCCCTGATAGAGTCCCCCACCAGGTTTCTTGCTGCCCCCCTTTTAAGTCCTGAAATGCCACAATGAAGTCTCTGCAGACCCTCTTCTTCTTTTTCAGATTGAACAAGCTCAGCTCCCTCAGCTTTTCTTCACAAGAGAGGTGCTCCAACCTTCTCATCAGCTCCGTGGCCTCCTCTGGACACAGTCAACAGCTCAACATCTTTCTCGTGCTGGGGATCTCAGGCCTGGACACAGTACTCTGGGTGGGACTCCACAAGGGCAGAGTAGAGGTGGACAATCACCTCCTTCAATCACTGGCCACGCTTCTTTTGATGCAGCCCAGGATAATGTGACAGCCAAAATAAATCACATCAGTCCAAGTAAGAGCGTTATATTACGGAAGAAATGGTGGGAAAATGTAGGATTCCTTCCTATGCCCAGCTCCATGTAATATTACCCATTTTTAAAGCCACAACAAATTTGCGGAAAAAAGAGAAGAATGAGGGGGGAGAGAGAGGAGAGGAAAAGCAGAAGAAATGAAAACAGAATACAGATGTTGCATTTCATTTTTTTCTCTAAACATGAGACAACTTACATCTGCTTAAGGAACCTGCAACAAGTGGAATGTGGTCATTATCCTCTCCTAGTCTAGACCTCAGAGCTTCACTCAGTTTTTCATAGCAGGTAAAATAGATTACTGTGGTAGGAAGGGCCATTATTCTAAAATATAAAAGAGGGAACCTGAATTAGTGCAAGGAAAGCAGGAGAATCTTGTATATCTTGTATGGATATTTTGCTTAAGTAAGGAAACTGTGTTGGATCTTGCAGGTTATTAGTAACAATCTAGACCAGCAAATATCACAGACTAACATTCTCAAACAATTAACACAGATCCTGTGATTTGCTGATGCTACCAATGGGGAAGTTACAGTACAAAGGATACGTCTTCTAAAGGCAAAATGAAAAGTTAGATGTCCCTGCTTATATAGTGAGAATATACCAAAAAGCTTGCAAGGAGAAATAGCAAGTTCTGGTGGGAAAGATACCACCTCCAAAATGTTTCTGATCAAGCTGATGACACCATTCTCTGTAACTTCAGATGTAGCAAATTTTTTAAAATCACTTATTTGTCTAAAAATGAAATTACTTACAGCGTTGGGGAAAGTCCACTCCAAAGGGATTTAATTCCCTCTATTTGAATAATTTTCACAAAAGCATCCTAAAAATATAATCAGGCAAAGAGCAATAATTAGCTGCAAAGCTTTTCTTTAGGAGTGTGTTTCTAAAACAGCTTATGATTCTAAGATTGCAATTTTGTAATTGCTTATGATAGCCATCAAATTCAATGATACAAGTAGTTCATCTGAGATGAGAAGGAATATTTGTGCTTGAAATTAACTATTTTCTTCCATTAGTAAGTTTTTCTTGGTAACTGACAGCCCTGTGAATAAGTTATCTTCAGAACAAATACAGCGGCCACAGCAGCCAATCTTCCCCAAAACTAATGACTAAAATATTTGTTTAGTAAAGAACAAAGTTTCTAGGCATGAAATAGCAGTTCACTCTTGATTCTTTGATACATTCTTTTCCTGACAAGATATCAGCAAATTGTATATCACATATGATATATTTGGAAGCTTACAACTTATCACAGCTGTCCATACATTTCCCAGGCCACTGACAGCAGAGGAACACTGAGCCTTGTTGGCCATTGAATTGAAAACATCTTCAGGAGATAAATTCCCTAATATTAGGGAACTTATTTTTCTTAATCTTTTGGGAGGAAGAGGCTGAAATTTGACAGATTAGAATAAGGACAAGATCAGGCTTTACTACAGGGCCTCAGAAGATACTGAACCCGACAGGTTACAAAAAGGGCTGGCACTAACATTTTGTTTTCTTCAAGCTTCTTTTGTATTTGTTAGTTCTGGATGTGTTCATAACACTGAATCAAGAAATCTACAGTCCAGGAAGGTACAGATCAATGACAGGAGAAAGGATGCAACAAAATCCAGTGTCTGAGCAGCAAATGCATGTATTTTACTAATGGTCTGGGCAAACACATCAGAACATTTGAATGGTTCTAGCATGGGCAAACTACCTCGTCTACTACATTTTTCTCTACTGCACTGTTTTATGAAAGGAAATCTGATGACATGATAGTTATTCTTCTTCATGAATTATCTTGTTATTGCAGAAATGGGCACGGCATGATGTCAGTTAGAAAACTAAGAGATTTCCTAAAAATTATATGGTAAAGTTAATTGAAATAGTCAGACAAGTTATTAATTTCAATAAAATTTGGTTATGGTAAAAGGAGCTACTTCATGAACACTTCGTTCTTCTCAAATACTGAATTCTGAAAAATCCTTGATCACATGTGTAATATAGTAGCAGTCCAACAAGAAGCTGTACAGCTGCTCTCTTACTCATTTTACCACAGGAATTTGCATTTTCAGCTAGAAAGAAGGCATGATTAACCACTACCTAAACTACACTGTGTAACCACATGAATACCCTCTCAAACAACAGCAAAAACTTAAATAAATAGATAAATCTTTAAAATGTGCAGTATGCCATTTAAAAATGTTTAAAATGTACACCTTCATGTAAATATGAAATGTCCTTACCAAAGTCCCTTTGAAATGCCCTTTTCTCTTATAGCATGCCTTGCCATCTGCATTCTCACAAACACACGTATGATCCATCTGGCCTTTGGAGTATACAAAGCATTTTCCTAATAAACAGTGTATAGAAGTATAATTAATGTGTTTTGAAATGATTGTTTTTACTCTGCAGCAATTCCAAATTGGATATAGTGGTGAGAGAGATTTATCTCTGGTTAGAAAAACAGAGACAAAGTAGCTTTGCAAAGTCAATATCAACAGAGCAGGTGGAAGGAAAAAGAAAACAAAGGTGTCCCTCGCAGTGCCAGAGGAAAGGAAATTGCCCTCACGGGCTCAGGGAGACAAACTGTGTAGCAGTGCCACCTGCTGAAGAATAAAAGACAACGACACAAGTCCTGAGTGTCACCTTCGTGCTTTCTGAACATCCTTCTGACTTTCAAATCTCTTACTGAGCTTTCCCTGCATCCGTGTTATGGATGGAGCTACTACATCTTAGGCAAATCTATATTCGCACTTGATCATCCTCTCTAATTTTTATTTCTTCTACATCATGTACTTTGAATCTGCTAGATAAAATACTGCTGCCAGTACAAAAACATACTGAGTCCCACATTACATTTTCACACTTTTGAAGAGTTTACAATTTACTAAAGTACCAGCCACAAGCATTTTCCTTTTTTTAATTTATGGCAACTGTTACTGCAAATACTTATCTCCACATACAAGAAACTTCTACAGCAGCCATCTCTTTTTCTTTTAAATCTCCTTTATTAATGACAACTAAACAGTCAAGTCTTTGAGCACAGAATGTATTAATCTATTTAGAACCCAGGTGACAAGACTTAGATAAAACTTTTACTACTCATTTTCAAAAGTTTTTGGATTCTGGAGGAGAGGGACTTTGACATAACACAGTGATCACATAAGCCCCTTATCAAAATATTTAGTAATGTATTAATAGCTTTTTTTTTTTTTTTACTCAATTGAGTAATATTTGTACATTCTTCCATACTGAGAAAGAGATCATACAGCCTACTTTACATGAAATTGATTCACAAGATTTTTTTTTCCATTGTATCTATTCAGTAGCACATCTTTTCTTTAGCAATTTTAGTATGTGTACATATATATATATATATATATATATTTCCCAGCTCACTGACTGAGGAAACAAACTTAGCTACTGAGAAACAAAGAAAGCCATTGTGCTGCTCAGCACTGTGACAATTACCTGCTAAGTGTGACAGCAAAGAGCAAAGTGCGCCCTCAACTGCAGAACATTGCTTACCTTTGGGGAACGGATTGCTTTGGGCTTGCAGTCGAGTTTTGACAACATCAAGAGGAGTTACTAAAATGAAGCAAAGTAGTCATTTAGAAACACATCATAACCTGAAAATGTAGAAGTGTGCACATAAATTCATCAGGAACTTTTACAACCTGTTTATCGGGGATGGGGGATAGGGAAGAAAAATGACAACTATTTTACAATGTAATCAGCCAGAGGGGGAAAGCAAGCAAACAATCACCACCACCCAAACCAACCCAACCTATGCATCCCCTATATGTCATTTCTAACTTACCAACAGTTGAACAAAGAACTTCTTGGGATAAACAAAGCTCACAAAAAAACACATTGTGCCAACTTGTATGAAATTGTTAAAAGCTGTGCTACTCCACTCTGGCTGCTAACTTTTTATAAATGGCAAACCAGAGAACTTCAGATTTTGTCCTCAAGCATGTAAAAAACCACAGCATTTTCTATGCATTTATTCTTTTTCATTAAACGAATCTACATAGTGATGTTCAAAACAAAACAAACAAACAAACTTTAAATTTATGATGTACTTTCCTTCTTTCCTCTGTGTAGAGCAGATTTAAAACTTCAGAGTTGTTGAGAAGTAAATGTAGGGTTAGGGAACATTTTTTCGCTTCCATCCAGCACTTGAGCACAACAGTCCTAGACATGCTGAACACTGCAGTTGTTTGTCAGCTGGACCACTCTCCAACCTCTGCTGATGGCACTGACTCAGGGCTTCAATCACTTACCTACACACAGCAGCTAGTGCCATGCAAGACTCCAAGGTATCCAAAATATCTGCACAGTGGACAGATATGACACAGAACCTACAATTTCATTAAGCAGCAGCTGGTGACTAGGTCAAATCACCCAGAATGTGCACATGACATGCTTGTGCCCAGGCAAATATTTACTCCTTAGCTCTCTGCTGATGTCCGTCTGCTGACCAGTACATTCTGCTCACGTTTCTGTATCTAAATGCAGGGATCTCGATGTGACTGCAACTCATTTCAGTTATATAAAATTTGGCTTTTATTATCATTTAGCCAATTGCACATAACTCTTCCTAGTCTCCCAGGTACCACTTCAGAATGGAAAAGGTCTCCTTATACCTATACTCCTAAGACCTTGAATACCTTAAACTAGAACCTTATGCACACAATTCGAAATACATCTTGGGAATTCTAGAGGTCCGATCTAGCTTTGCCTGCTACTTTATCTAATATCACAGGACACATTGTGTAATGACAGAATGAATAGACTGAATTTGGTAAGAACCTAATTCATAAGTCTGGAAGGTTTTGGGGGGAGGAGTCATGCTTAGAAAATTGTAAGTTTCTCTACAGCTTAGTCAGTGTTAAAAGTCAGAACCAAAGGCTAGCTTAAGGCAAAAAGTAACAGAAATACGAATAAGCTTGATGAGCTCCAAGAGATATGAAGTACTGAATCCAACCAACCAGTGCCTCCTTAGGTGCACATGGGAAAGGAGTTCATGAGCTAGAGTACTGAATAAAAGTAAAAGCTCAATTTCACAGATTATCTGCAAGTTTGAAAGACCTTACAAAAAAACCTATCCTTAAAATTGCTTAAGGAAATGATAAAATGCTCTGACAGAATACAACAGCATAACAAGTAAAACGATGTTACTACTGCAGTGGTAACATGAAGAGGACATCTCACAGTGTACAGCCTTGCAGGGTTTGTATCTTGAACTGTAGACTTTCATTTAAAATTTATTTTTAAGTGGCAGAAAGGATGGAAAGTCATTTTTATTGTTTTTTTTTTTATTCTTTTTTATTTTTTTTAATTTTTTTTTTGTAGTTTGTTCGTTTTTCCAGAAAGCAAGCAGTGAAAACAGACAAAGGAAAAAAAATTAAAATTACTCTTATTTTCAGAAATAGTTAAAGGTTATCAGGGAGGGTAAAGATTTCAATTAACCACCATATTTGATATAATTAAAAAAAAACAAAACAAAACAAAACACGTACTTAAAGAACATATTAGCAGAAGTTTACAAACCACATATATGCAGTCAGCACAATCCATTAAACCAAAGAGCAATCACTTTGCAACGATTTTCTCTATAGCAAGCTTAATAGTTTGCCTTACCAAACAATGATGTAATTATAGCTCCGCAGCAAGAGGACACTGCCTGCTGAATAGTGGTTGTTTTGCTGAAATTACTATTACTCATCTCAGCCATCGCTTTATCCTCGGAGAAGAAAAATCTATTGAGGAACAGAAGAAGTATATTGCAAGACTGTGCTTACAACTTGCAGAAAAATCAAGTAAAAATATTTTTAATTTTTACTAATGCATTACATGTAAGCAGCAGTAATGTAAGAAAATGTAATATAGGGAACTCAGGTTTTTGGTTTTGTGGGGTTTTGTTTGAAATTAAGTTTTCTAAATAATAATAAATTAAGTTCTAAAGGAGAACTTTCTAAACTTTTTAACATAAGGTACCTCATACTTTACAAACCACATTAAATATGTAACATACCTTACATTTTTGTGGCAACAAAGGCCTTAGGAGCATGTCAATGGTCTGTACAAAGGTAAATGCCCTGCCTGCAGCCCACACACTGCAGCAGAGCAGAGCACTTCGTCCAGACCCCCCTCTTGCTTCTGTCGTTCCTATGAGAAAATCCAGAGAGGTCTCCTGGTGAATCCAAATCACAGCCTGTTGGTAATGGCTTCCTGAGCAATCTCCTTAAACAACAAGCAGTGACTGACCAGTATTAATGCTGCCAGTAAATATTAATTCCTTTAACAAATCCTGCAGCGCAGTTTCACAGGCAAGGACTCAATACCTTAGAAATGTAAGCACAGACTCTAGAAATAAGGAGCTAATATAAATCTAGGCAGAAAAAGAAAACAAAAAGAAAACCAAACAAAAAGCCAAACGAGCCCATTTTCAGGACACAAAATCCCCAAATGACATCCTGCGTTGAAGAGGATTCACAAGGATCACTGAGCCCAGCTTCTGGCTCCACACAGGACCACCTGAAAAACAAATCCGATGGCTTGAGGGCCATACCTTTGAAAATGCACACAGATTTAGTAAGTACAGTTGTGACTTTATTAGTTTGTATTGATCTAAGCTTTGTATTTGATCCATAGGACAGGCTGGAAAGTTGGATGAAGAGGAACCCAATGAGGTTCAATGATGGTATGTGCAGAGTCCTACAGCTGGGAGGAATAACCTTATCCTTCTGTACAAGTTAGGGGCTGACCCCCTGGAGAGGAGCTCTGTAGAGAAAGACCTGGGTGTCCTAGTGGACAACAGGTTGGCCATGAGCCAGCAGTGTGCTTTTGTGGCCAAGGTCAACGGCATGCTAGAATGCTTTAAAAAGAGTGCAGCCAACAGGGTGATCCTCCCCTTCTTCTGTGCTCTGGTGAGGCCACACCAGGAGTACTGTGTCCCATTCTGAGCTGCTCAGTCCAGGGAACTTCTGGAGCAGCGGGCTGCAAAGATGAGTGGGAGCATCTTCCTGATGAGGAAACGCTGAGAGACATGGGACTGTTCAGCACGGAGATGAGAAGGCTGAGGGGGATCTTATCACTGTTTATAAATACCTAAAGTGGAGGGAGTCAAATGGATGGGGCTGGGCTCTTTCTAGTGGTGCCCAGTGTCAGGACAATGGCAATGGGCCGGGTGATCTACAGAAGTCCCTTCCAACCCTTACGACTCCGTGATTCTGTGAATGCTTTGCTACGTTCCCCGAATTTAAAACGAAAGACGAGGCAACTGAGCAACCAGGACTCACCCCCCAGAACCCGCCATACTGACGTCTCCCTCCACACCTTGAGGACCCTGCGGGGCTGAGGCGCTCCCCCTGCCGCCACCACGCCCTCAGCACCGCGCGGAGAGCCGCAGCGCGTCTTCCCGTGTGAGGACGGCACTGAGGTGAGGCGGTACCCCTACGCAAGCTTCCCGCCCTCACGCGGCCTCTTTTCCCCTCCCGCCACTCCGCGCTCCCCTCACCCCGCCTGGCGGCGCCTTCCCGCCCTCCCTCCTGCCGGGGCGGGGCTCGCGCGCGGCGGACCGTTGGTAGCGCGCGGGCCGGGGCGGAAGCCCGTGGGCCGCGGAGCGCCGAGGCTCGGCCCCGTCCTGCCGGGAGACGAAGGGAGGGGGCGGCGGGGGCCGGCGGCTGAGGGAAGCGTAACGGCGGTGCCGCGCCCGCGTGTCTCCCGGCGGGAGGAGAGGAGGATGTGAGGCCGCGGGAAGATGAAACCCGGCGCCGCGGAGGTCACCGACAAAGGAACGCGTCCCCGTAAGTGGCGGGGCCGGGGCTGCTGCCGGCGGGTGGGCCTGCGGCCGGCTTCGTTATTACGGCAGGGTAGCGCGCCGGCACTCCCTCCCGGCGATTTTGCCCTTTCGCTTCGCCCGGCGTCGGGAATCGATCGTTGAAAGCCGAATTGAAGAGGGACGCGAACCGGCTGCCGTCAGGCCCTGCCCCACGCGGCCCCTCCACGGCCAGCGCCGTGCCGCCATCCGCGGCTGCGAGGGGCGGGCGGCTGAGCGGGGAGCGCTGCTGGCGCGGTGCTGCTAACGAACTGTTGCTGACTGCGGGCCTTGAGTTACGCCTAGCGAGTTCCGTGCGCGTTTTTCAGTGGTGGCCGCAGTAATTTTTGAGGTGCCCTGTGTGCCGGCTGTAACGCGGTGTTTGATTCCTTCAGAATTTCTCTTGCCCGTCTGCTCATTTGTGGCTTCATCCTTTTCAGCTTCCAAACGAGTTACGTTGTCTAAAGCCTACACGTTTCCTATTTGTCTGCTTCTCCTGCTTTCTCAGGTTCTACCGAATTAACTGCTCTTTTTGCTTTGCTTCTATGTGTTCATAACCACTGCTGGGAGAATATAGCGGCAGTGGTGGCTTTGCTCCCCCCTGTTAAGGCAGTTTCAGCGAAGGAGTGAATGGGTGGCAGAGGGACTGTTTTGACTCTAGAAGATGCCTGCTCAGTTCCTGCGTCAGCCCTCTGTCCTTTCTGAGCTTCTCCAAAGGATAATAACCAGGAGCTGACCCGCAGTCACTGAGGAGACAAGCGGTTTAAAATCACCAATATGCCAGGCTTGGATGATTGAGCCTCCATCATAGGTTGTAATCCATCCTGGAATGGATGCAAGTAGGAATGGTTGCTCACACTTGAGTGCGCTTAGGATTCCACGAAGTGTACCTCCTCTTCAGAATTCCATGCCTCTATTGATTGTGTCCTCTGGTACATACAGTATCACTTTCTTTTTATTTTCTACCTAACTGCTGGTTTGGGGTTTGTGCTCCATAGTTCTTGTACCAGAATAAACTATTCAGCCATTATCTCTGCTCTTTTTCATTTTATTTATCGCATTTCCCCTAAATCACTTATTTTGCCCACTGACCACCTATCTGTGAGATAAGTCCACATGCTTTCGATCATCTTTTTTTACACTTTTTTTTCTTTCTTGGTTGTAGAGTACACGCTCCTCATGCAGATTTTTTCCTCTTAAAGCTGCACATGTTATTTAAGTGTGGGGATTCATTAATTTATATAGTGGTATAATAAAATTGCCCAATTAATTTTCTGTGTGTGGTTTTTTTTTTTTTTTTTTTTTTTTTTTAATTTTTACATTTTCTGGTAGATTTTTTGTTTTTACTTTTTTTTTTTGGTTGATAGTGTACATATGATGTTTTTCTTCTGAAATGAGACTTAACTCTTACCTAGACTGATCTATTTTAATTCTTTAAATTTCCTTATTTAAATGTCTATTCTGACAGACTTAAGTGGATGGTTTGGAGTTGATCATCAGGTTTTTAATTCCAGTACCTGAAGGGGCCTACTGGAAAGCTGCAGTGATTCTTTGTAAGGGCAGGTAGCGACAGAACAAGGGAAAATGGCTTTAAACATGACGAGGGTAGATATCAAGACTAGATATCAAGAAAAAATTCTTTACTGTGAGGGTGGTGAGACACTGGCATGGATTGCTCAGCAAGGCTGCGGATGCCACTTCCCCGGAGGCATTCAAGGCCAGGCTGGATGGGGCTGTGAGCAACCTGGTGTAGAGGGAAGTGTTCCTGCCTATAGCAGGGGGTTGGAACTGGATGATCTTAAAGGTCCCTTCCAACTCAAGCCACTCTGTGATTCATTCTATGATTCAATTGCTGTGTGTTGTCTTGTAGTTTAAGAGAAAAATTCACTAGGACAGAAAGAGTGGTTGTAACTACAGTGATTCTGGAACTTTAAGCAAACTTCCTGAGTCTCAGGTGGGTGCTGAAAAATGAGATGAATAGTACAATCTTCCTCTCCTATTTTTTTCTGTTTCATGGGCTTTTGCCTTGTTTTTGTTCAGTTGCTTCTATATGAATCCCCTTTTTTCTTAGATGCAAAAGTGAGAGGCCAGTCTTTTTCCTTTAAAATAGTGCTTTTGTGATAATCAGGGACTGTACCAGTAGTGTATGTACTGTGCTGTGGAGATGGAAAATGGTTAACAAAGTGGAGGAGAAAACTGATGGTGTTGTATGGCAACTGAAATAAAAAAAATCCATCTTAGGACATGATATTAAAAAAACCCAACAAAAAACAAACTTTTAAGGGCTCTTTGTTATTTATGTCTTGTTTTTGACATGTTTAACGTGTAGGTCTTTATTAAATGTCTTATATTACGTGGAAGTTTGCCTTCTTTCATTTTAAAAAGAGAACCCACATTTCATACAGTATAATTCTTTTTTGGCAGCAGATGAAATGCAAGCAAAAACAGAAAAGATAAAATCTTCTCTGAAAAGCGTGAAAAAAGAAGTAGGAAAACCAGAGAAACTGAAATATAAACCACTCACTGGAAAAGTGTTTTACCTCGATATTCCATCAAATGTGATCTCTGAAAAAATAGGGAAGGATCTTAAAGAACTGGGAGGGGTAAGTTAACGTTCAAATGAAACTGAAAGAAAATCTGCATCTGGAATGGCTGTTCTGTGTACTGTGCTACTGCGTTTTAATGTTACATTTATTTTAGATGTGAAGGAGTTTTATTTTTTAATGTTACTTTAATGTTTAGTATAGATAATCAGCTTATCAAGAAGTTTTCGTGGGGTTTTTGTTTGTTTTTAGTGGAAGTTGTTTTGCTATCTGTAGCAGAAGTTTTTATCATAGAGATTTGTTTTCAGCTGATGTTTCATTTACTTGGATTTTTATCCATGTGCCATAAGAATGATGAACCCGAAAGAGGTTAGAGGAAGTGTTCTGCATGTGTTTATGGAAAGTCGCATATTCTTTTAGCTTGGTGTGGGTTATTTGTTAAGATTGTCTTTTACTTGAATGATTTGATAGTTTGTATGCATTTAATCGAATCATATATATAATAATTTCCCAAATTTTCTAATACATTTTATGTTTAGAGGCTACTTAAGGCTACTTATAAGGCTACTTACGTTTAGAGGCTAGAAGTATAATGGGAGAGTGGTTTGATTTATTTATTTATTTATTTATTTTTTCCCTCAAGTACAGGCTGAGGCTTATAAAGGCTGAGCTGGAACATTATCACCTAGCAGAGGGAGGAGATATGCACCCCTCTTGGCATTCAGGGCAGGTTGTGGACAAAGACCTGAAGAAAGAGCTTTTGTGTGGTTGGTGGGCCTGAGAGGATGTAGAGAGGAACAAAAAGTTTTGAGAGATTGCAGCAGAACATCAACTCCTCAATATCGTGGTTGAAATGTGAGCTAAATAGAGGAGCAGAGTTAGGATACAGGACCAAAGTGGCATGAGATGAGGTGTCAAAAACAAACAAAACCCAACAACCCCACATTGACTTCTTGATGGTTTTCTTTTTCTTTTCTTTTTTATCTTTAAAGGCATTTCTTCTTTAAAAGGTACCCTGGAGCTCTTTAAACAAAAAGCTTTGGTAGCTAATTCCACTTACATTCTGGATTTTTAACTTAATGTTTTGAAGTACTCATCCTTCTACAATGAGCAAACAGCTGTGAAAGCCACGTTTTTAAGAGCAATACCTCAGCCCATTCTGGTGGCATTATCACAAGAATGGCTGATAAGGCTTGGGTGTGGTGAGGAGCAGCAGCAGGAAATTGAAATGCTCTGTAATGTCAGCAGTCAGCTGAGAGGATCAGCTCTAGCGCTGGATCAGGCTGCCTGGAGAGGTGCTGGGGTTTCCTCTTGAAGATGCTCAAAGCCAGCAAGAAAATTTTGGTGGTTAAAGTTGTGTACTACTTTCATAGTCAGGTTTTTACACTTTCAGCCTTATTGTTTGACCTCAGTAAGGCATTTCAGTAAATGCTTTCTGCACAGAGTATGCTAATGAAGATTGTTTGCATTGAAATCATAAATTCTGATGGGGGAAATACAGCATTTTCATACTCACTAAAACAAAATGTATTACTCTGTTCAAGCTTCTATGTTTCTGAGAGGCGTTATGAACTCTGTAGGTGTGAAATGGGGTAACCATTGTTTCACAATAGTTTCATTTTTCTGTGGGTTCTGAAATTCATTGTTTTATCTCCTTGCAAACTGTGAATTATGTTTGCTTATGCATCTGTGAGCTCAGTTTAGCTGAACACTTCATAACTTCTGTTAAGTTACATAAAATGTGGTTTCCTTTGAATTATTCTGTAATTTCTCAGTACACTGAGTTCTGTTTGGAAAGTATTACAGATCAATACGTCAAGAAATGGTAATAATCAAAACCAATTAAAAAAAAAACTTCATTTTAGGTTAGAAAATCAGAAGTGAAACTGTAAAGCTTTTGACTGGTAAGATCTTACTGCAGTTCAGTTGTCATCGTTATATATATATATATATATATATATATGTATATGTGTGTATATATATATATGTATATATGTATATATATATATATATATGTATTTTTAAATATCTTCCTGATGATTCTGTTTTCTGAGTGTAAAAGTAGATTTGTTTAGAAGTTTTGTCTCTTCAGTGCACACAAAGCAAGAAGGGAATTACTAATCTATTGTCCTGAAGTAACAGTTTGCTTTATTTCTTTTTATTTAGCGAGTGGAGAGTTTTCTTAGCAAAGATATCAGCTATCTGGTGTCCAGTAAAAAGGAGGCAAAATTTGCACCAACTCTCAGTCAGATTTCTCCAGTTCCTAGCCCAGAATCTGTATGTAATGGAGGGAATGGCACATCTCATCCCAGCAACCGAAAAGATCGACAGGATGGAAGTTCATTTAAGGCAGCAGATGCAGTAAGTTTCTCTAATAATAATGCTGCAAAACAACTACAACCTGGGAGATGCACTATCAGAATTTTTCTCCTGTCTTGTTTCCTCATGTTGTTAATGCAAGTACCCCCAGAAGTAGTCTTTGGTAGTTCAATGAAATAATTACAGTTGAACATTGCCTATCAGGTTTTTGGTTTTTTTTAATTCTTAGGTGATTGTATTAATTTCAGCAGTTTGTTTCTGCAGATTTACCTGAAGTCTGTTCCATTGGCAGGTTTAGTATTCTCACTATCCTGACTTGATACTTTAGAAACTTAGGTGTGGGGCGGTTCATGTGTTGGTCTTCATTGCACTGGGTGGCTGAGGTCACTTCTTGACAATAACCTGGATAGCTGAAGGCATGTTCATTACAAATGTACAGAATATAGTACAAAAGGAGCTCCTGATGGTAGAAAAGGCAGAGATAATTATGGCTGAGGCTGTAGTTACATTCATGGCTGGTAGCTAAATTTAGCACATGTTCAATGGATGAAACCTCATCTTTTGGTGTATCCCACAGGCTGCTCATTCACACCATCTTTCTTGATGCAGCACTTGACATTGCTTCAGCCATTCAATGAACCTGCTTTGGATGAAAACTAATTTTCTTTTTTCCCCTCATAATGTATGAACCCCAAAACCACCTTGTGTGGAAAATGCAAATTCATGAAAAATAACTATAAAATAAACAAAAGGAGACTATTGAAGACTTTTGATAGTAACAATAATTTGCCTTACCTTCTACTTTCTGAAACAAAATCTAACTTGCTATGAATGTATTTCTGTTCTAATATAGGTACGTTTGAGCAGAGGAAAATCCTTAGCTGAAAAAGCAATCAGAGAGCAGGTAAGCTGGGTAATCCATACATTTATACTTCTGAGGAATTTTGATCCTGAAGTTCTGGAAAACAAGCACTAGTAAGAATGATGGTGGTCTGAGACAGAGGTGTCTCATGGGGCGTTCAGGCAGAAATTGGGGATTGTTCTAAGCAAAGCACGTGTCAGATTGTGTTTTCTGGATACTTCCTGAAGAACTGAAAGTCTTATGGTCTTATAATCAGTATTATATTTTATCGAGATTGTAATTGTAGCTGGCATTTGAAAAGTGCTTGTGAAGTTGACGTGAATGTACAAATTCATTGTCTTCAAATAGTAGATACTATAACATGCGACAGAGAATTGCTTTTGGCTTTGTGAGACGTTAACTGCAATCCTTTGATAGCCAAGTGTTGTGATGTGGAGATGGAGAAGTCAATTGAGGATAGCTGTAATATTTCGGCAGGAAGTACATAAACAGTCTGCAGTTGGATCTCAGCTTTTGTAAGATAGCTCTTATTATAAGATGTAATAAATATAAATATACTACATTTTATTTGATCTGCAGCTCAAAATGAGAATTTCTTTTTCTTTTTTTTAAACAGGAATTAATCCCCTCTGGTAGCATGCTGTCCAATGCTTTGAGCTGGGGAGTGAAAGTACTTCATATTGATGGTAAATATCTTTGTTTGGTGAAGCATAACTTGAACTAATAACACTGATTTCTTTAAACTTTTTGGAGTTCAAAATATTAAAAATGATAACTTAAAACAAACAAAGATAAATTCAGCTGAAATATAAATATAACTTTCTCTTTGCCAGATGTTAAGCATTATATTGAACAAAAGAAGAAAGATCTCTACCTAATCAAAAGCACAGGCAGTTCTTTTAAAGATGCGGTAAGTGGGTTTTTGCCATTTGTGAAAGTTAATTTGATTAAATGAAAAAAGGTAGGCATATTAAATATGGCCTACAGTGGTGCATACAGATTTTATTTTAATCAAATCTTACTCCTGTTCTGTTTTTCACTGACTAGTATGTTTTATGAATTAATTTTAAGACCGTAGCCTCAGTGACATCATTTGTTTTTGCAGTCTATAAATAAAAGCTGCTTTAGGAAACAGGACTGTATTTATTTCCTGGTGAGCTTGTTTTCTACATAATTTATCACAACTGTGTATCACAAGTTATGATTGTCATAGGGAGACTCTCATGACTTAAAATCAAGTCTTAAGATAAAATGTGAAATAAAATTCCTGTGAATATTATACTTTTCCTCCTTTATTTTCCAACAGGGAAAACAAGTTACCACTCAAAAGTCAAAAAGTGAGTACTTGAATATGTGTAGAGGTTTTGCTGAACTTTCTGAGTGCTTATAAATAGATAAGTATAAAACTGTCTTCTAACTTGTAAGCCTGAGAAAGTTTCCTGAAACTCAGGAGTTTGTAAAGCATGTACATAATGAGTTGTAAAATAATGCCTGTCTGTCCAAGAACTTGAAAACTTGCTAAATGAAGCATAGTATTTCTCTTTTAATTTCCTTTTTTTCCTCCTGTGAGCAGGTAGGCTGAAAAACCCATTTGTGAAGGTGGAAGATAGAAGTCGGTGAGTGTTCTGTGTGCTTTCAATGTAGTTCTCAAACTGAGAAATTCAGAAACATGTTGTACGTCCTGATGGGCTTGCTGACTTTAAAGCCAGACGGTTCCATCTCTGTGTGGTCTGGATAGGTATCAGTGTTTAGTCTTTGGATGAAGTGAAGGAGGAATTAGGATGGTGGGGAGTGTTTGGGATGGGTAGTAGTGATGAAAAGTTAATGTGTAGCAATTTGTAGGTCACGAGAGGGGGATTAGGAGAGATTTGGTTTATTTTGTTCTTTGAGCCGAATGAATGAAAAGGAGGAAGCCTTGAAACTTTAAACTTTGACATCTTGCCTGTTTTTTCTTAGATTCAGTTCATGTAGCCCAAAAGACTAATAAAGCTTTCTATATTAAATATTAGTAGTCCTAACTCTTAACGTTTGTCTTGGGAGACAGTAAGAAAAGTCATTATACCATGGAACATTCCTTGAAATCAGGCTGAATTTACAGTTCAGTGATTTATTACTTAAAAAACAAACAAAAACAAAAAAGTAACAACTGTTAATCTAATTTCACTACTGTTGTAGCATAAGATCTGATGCTTCCAGACTTGACAATTTTTGTATTTTTCTGAGCTTGTAACTGATAGGATCTGGTTGTGTAACTCCTCAATGAGGAAAGAGGTTGTCAGAAGTTGGGAGAAAAATGAATTAAAACAACATGAGTGGGAATTTTGAATCTAGTCTTACTAGTGAGCTGGTAAGAGTAGGTGTGATAGATATGAGAGTAGTGGGCAGAGTAGGACAAATGCATTTTCAAGCACAAAATATACGTGCTTGAACGTGTGAATTTTATATTGGACTCTGAACACTGCAGCTAAATGATTATGTGAATTTTGTCATAACCTTTTTCAAACACTTTTAATACATGCAAGTGCTGGTGTGCTTGCTAGTTCTGTTATCTTTCTATGTATGTTTCTGTGCAGGAAAACTACTTCCATGAAAACTTAATGTTCAGTTTTAACATATTTTCAATGATAAATTGGAAGCCTTTCAAAAAGAGAGAATTGATAAAATGAAAAAAAAAAAAAAAAAATTTGAGGTAGGAACTGCTATTTCTCAGGAGCACTGATCTACTTGCATCCAAATTGTTAATTGTATTGATTGTGCAGATCTGCTCAACCTCCTGCACTACAGCCAACGTCGCTATGCAGTGTGCTTGACAGCTCTGAAAACTCAAGGCAGACTCTTTATTTTGAGGTGGTATTGAGGAAAGAAGGAATTACTTTCCCTAGGTTATTTATCTGCTTAGCATTTTTTCTGTACATTACATGTGGAAGAGAAGCTTGTTTGCAAAGACCTTTTAACCTATTTATAGTTTGTAATGTAAACTGTTTGGTTGTTCTGATGCTTCTAATGCACCTGTTTTATCTTAATGCAGCTCCTACCGACCATTTTATCTGCAGTTACCGAGTTTTCCAGCTCTTAACTACTGTGTTCCAAAACCTTGTAGTCCATTTGAGGTCGATAAGAAGCATCCTTCTGGTCCAAAACAAACTCAGTCTAAGCAAAGGTTTGTTGATTACTCATTGTTGAGGTATATACAGAGGAGAGAGAGATCCTCTAAAATAATTGTAAAGTAATGATTTTCTAAAAAGAATTATTTTGCTTTTCATTTCTGTGATACTTAATACTAATTTCCGCATCTTGACTGTTGCATTTGCTACGCTGTAACTGCTGCTGTCTGTCTTTCTGTACCCTCTTTGTCCTATCTTTAGTCCTTTTTTTGGACACACGGATGCATACATCCAAAAATGCAGCGCTCTCCTATCATTGTGGGTCAGCATAAGATATTTTTTTCCTTTCTACCACTGGTTTCTTCTTTGTCCACGTCTTGGATTCCATCCAGTAAGTATTTTATAGGCAGTAAATTTCTTAAGGCTTCCCGTGATGTTTGTCAGTAAAAAGCTGAAAAGAAGGCAGTTAATTGTTATAAGTGATATTCAGTTATAGTTCAAAATCATCATTGCTAAGGAGCATATCTGCCTTATATGCACAATTAGATTTATAGAAATTAGACATTGCAAATGTTGCTTCATTGCTTCAGAGATGAAAAATGGATACTTACTGCAGTTAGTTTAGCTTTCAGCAAGTGTTTATGTGATATGGGTTGACATTCAGGCTCTGAGTGCTCCAGTTGATGTTAGAACATTTGATAAATCAACTTTATGATTTGAAACAACTTTCAAATGTTGATTTTTGTTTTACTGAGGGAATTTGGTGTCCTTAACTTCTTTTTTCTAGCATGTGTGGAGACTATAAATGTTTGACTTTGAGAACTGATTCATAGCAGAAACTAAAATATTTAGATGAGAGGCAGCTTTGATTTACTTGAAACTTTCTGTGCCTGGTAACTTTTGCTGCTGTTCTGTCCTTTGGATCTAAAACTTATTTAGGTTTGACACTTGTGTTCTCTATGAATAGGTTCTGTGTTGTCTGTATTTTGTCCAGTCTAAGCTATTATTAGACTTCTGGAGCTTTTCAGGTGATGTTACAATGATAAATGAGCATAGCAACATAGTAGTGCAGTAACCTTTGCAATAAGGAGGGTATTTCTGATGCTGTCTCTTCAAAGGGGCCTTAGGATAGCCTGTTCTCTTTAAACCACTTTCTAAAATGAAGATTACAATGGTCTTTTCATGTGTATATATTAAAACTAATGCCTTGTATTTCTTAAACTTCAGGAATTGGGCTCAAGGTAATATTTCTCATTAATCTTTCAATCTGGCACATGCCAGAGATGTTTAGGTGGAGTTTTATTTATTTCATAGCCAGCAGGTGAAGGTGGTGACTGTCATTTTTTTTTTTTTTTTTTTTTTTTAAGAAGGAAAAGGTGAGAATGCCTGCTTGTTTTATCTTTATCTGAAAGAGTAGGATGTTGAAGATGATGTCAATTTCACTTGCTTTACATGCAGAAGCATTGCAATCATTCACACTTCAGATAATAAATTCTGTCTCTTTTATCTTGTGGCTTGCAAGCCTTAGTGGCTCTTAGTGATTTTACATTTCTAAGGGAAGAGGTGAAAAGGCTACTGCAGTATTAAAAGTGGACTCTGGAATCTGAACAAATGCTTGATTGGTCTTTATATAAAACATCTATGCAGATTCTTGGTGGAATCTGACGGTATGACTCTTTGTCTAGGCAGGGAGGTGGCACTATTCTCTAGAAGTAAAATGAAAGTAGGAGCTGATGATTTTGCTTTACTGTAGGGTAGCTTAGTAGTGAATGGCAACAAGCAGTAGCTCTGTCCAGATGAGGACTCTGAAGGTCATGGAACAGATATTGAAAACCTCTTTGTGGTTTAATCTTCTGGAAGAACTTATGGTTCATTTCCTTGTATTTCAAGGTACATTTCTTGTACCTTGAAAAAGAAGAGGAATCGTACTTGATCAACATGTTCAAAAGCTGCATGTAACCAATAAATAGGACAATTCTTTACCTTTTATCAAAGAATGAAAGGTCATTTATTATACCATATTTTTTCTGCATCAAAAATATTGACAGAAGATGAAATGCTAGAAGACTTTTTTTTCCCCTAGTTTTGATTTTATCAGCTATGCAAAGAAATTTCAACAAATCCTTTGATTTGACAAAGGAGATTTGTTTTATAAGTTCAGCATTGCTTAATCTGAGTCAATGATAGTAGGAAATCTTACGAATCTGAATGTTTTGTTCTCACGTATAGTTCCATTGGGTATGCCTGTTTTGTTGCAGTCATTTATTTATTGATTTTTGAGTGCATTAATTTCTATTCTACTTTTCCTAAGCATTTACTAGGGTGGTTTAAGTAGTCTGAGAAGAAATGAAGATGTTCTCTTAAATGATGTGAATGAAAATGAACATTTTATAGGAGGCATGTATAGAACTCACCTCGTATGCAACAGTCATTAATTTTATTTTGTTTCTGCTAACAGAAAAGATATAAACAGTGACAAGGACTGCAGAACTCCTGTTCAGCTTCATCAGAAGGACAAAAAAAGGAGAGGATATTGTGAATGCTGTGGGAAGAAATATGAAGATCTACAAACTGTATGTGTGAAATATGAAATGCATTGTTTTCAAGCAGTCTTAAAACAGAATTGGCAATGATTTCTATTTGCTGTTTTAATTCTTTTTTTTTTTTTTTTTAATTGTCTGAGTGTATTTTCTAAATAGCAGCAATTTTTTTTCTTTGTCTATTTCAATTCTTTGCTTCTGGGTATGGTGGCTGAAAGCATTAATGGCTCTAGTCTCAGGGGCGCTGACTGTAAGATCACCTATTTAATGAACAAAGGGAATATGTTCAATGTAGTTTTTCTGGATATTAGCAAGGCTGCTTATGCTATTCTTCATAATATTTTTGAATGTTTTGTCCAATTATGAGACAAACAAGTATGCATTACACTGGGTGAAGGGCAGGCTCAAAGAATTGTAGTGAATGGGACAGCAGCTGGCTGGCAGGTGAGGTGCTGGTTGGCAGTTGGCTCTGTGCACCAGCTGTGTGCTCCAGCAGCAGGGAGAGTAAACTGCACTTTGGGATGCGAAAAACACTGCATAGCCAGATGCCAACAGAAGTGATTATTCTCATATATCTAATACTAATGCGGCTTCACCTGGAAAACTTTGTGCAGTTCCCCACAGTTTAAAAAGGCTATTAACACCCAAAGAGGAGCAACAAAGCTGGTTAAAAGAGCTAGATGCAATGAGGAGGATGCTAAGTTTGTGAAGCTTGGAGAAAAGGAGGTTGAGGAATGAATGACCTTATTACTGCCTTCAGCTTCCTGGAGATGAGAGGTAGAGAAAAGGCAAGCACCTCTCTCCCTGGTATCTAGTGATAGAATGTGTAGCAGTGGCTCAAAGGTGTCATGGGGAGTGTTCAGAGTTGACATTAGGGAAAAAAAAAAACAACAACAACAACATTATTTATTTAGTTTTTTAACCAAAAGTGCAATTGGGCACTTGAACAGGCTTCTCAGGGAGGTAGTTGATGCCTTGTGTCTGTCTGTGATTAAGTGGCGTTTGAATAATGCTCTTAATGATATTCTTTACCTTTGGGTTAGCCTTGGTGTAGTCTGACAGTTGGACTCAATGATCTTTGCAAGTCCCTTCAAAATGGAACTATTCTATTCTAGCAACAATAAATTATCAATATGTACTTACTGCTCCATATTGGTTTGTATATTCATATTTGTAGCATTACTTTTATTTCATGATTACCTTTTTAATTCCAGCATCTTGAAAGTGAACAGCACCAGAAATTTGCACAAAGCACACAGTATCAAGTTGTTGATGATATAATCTCCAAGTTTGTTTATGAGTTTGTTGAATATAGGGATGATGAAAAAAACATGAAAAGGTAAGTTGCATGTCCTTAATTTTCAAACATCTGTGAGTTAAGACATTAAATATGAAGATACTTCAGTTATGAAATTCTGAACCTAATATGGAACAAGTTCATGTTTTTGAGTCTGATAATCGTCACTGGAACTTGCAGTAGTTCCAGAAATAAAAAGGAAGAAATGGTACATATGGTATTGCAGGAATATGAGGCTAAAGAGACTTTCCAGGAGTTGTTCCATCTATCTGTAGCCTTCAGAAATGCAAGTTGTCAACTATTCTAAAATATAGCTGATGGAAGGACAGCAGTGTCTGGATGTCTTGCTCTAAAAGCTTTTTGATGTTCTTAGTAGCCTAAGATAAACAAGTAATAACCTCCTGGGTCAGTCTTTAACAAGGAGATCCAGATTTGTCTATGATCTATAATATTATCTTGAGGGGAAGAAAAACATAATTGTGCTAAGCTTGTGTCTATATGCAATAGAATATTCACAGGTATTTGTCATTGCATCATATTCATTAACTTTTGTTCTCAGTAGCGTTGTGGTTGAGACTTACTGAAATGCTGGACTTCTTACCTGTATTCATGAGCTGTAGAAATCAACAGTAAAATACAAAGTACTACGTTCCAGCAGAAATAATGTTTCTACCCTTACTTTCCTTTGAAAAAATTGCTTTGTCAGTTTAGTTGCTTTTCTAGATGTTTGCATAATGAATTATGTTACTTTCTTTCAACGGTTTGATTGTTAATCATCCTGAACAATTTAATTGTAGGATAAAATGTAGTACAGGATACTTTTCTCCTATTATTGGAAAGATAACACGACCAGATGAGCTGAAAGAACGGCTGAAAAAGCAACGCGTTTCATTGAGAACTTACTCGTGGAAAGATACTACAATGCAGGCACTCAAACTGGATCGTCAGCCTGCAGAAATACAACCAAATTCCATGTTGGTGCCTCCCCCTATTTCTGCATCTCTGTGTTCAATTCTTTACTGTCATCTGTCTCAACCTCCAGAAGTAAAAAGTAAATTCAGAAATAATGGTGGAAACACAAGAACTAATTGCTTCTGTGCCACAAAGCTAGGACAGTCTGTGATGTCGCCAAATTTCATACAACCACTTCCTCAGAAAGATGGTAAATCATACATGGAGAACTTGTGTCAAGATTATGAGCCATTCAGTAAAGAAGTACTTGAACCAGAAGTAAATAAAAAGAATTTACAGCGTTTTCAAGAAGGTGTGTGTACTTTATGTTCTCATGCTCAAGTTACAGATCTTAGTGAAAAGGACAAAAACTTAGCACAGCCTAAACGAAAATTGAATCCTGCAGTAGTTCTACCCGCAAAATGTTTGAAAAAAATGGATGCCAGTCCTACATTTGTCGAGAAACATCGTGATTTATGTGATAATCATCAACAGATGCAGCACAATGTAGTTCTGGAGGCTGAGGTATCCGAGTCTGCTATAAACAAAGAACTTAATGAATTGGCTGCCAACGCTGCACACTGCTCACCATCTGGAAAGCTGCACAGGAAAGTAAAGCTTTGCTTAGGAAGAAATAGAAGAGAAAACCGGAAGCAGAATATAGAGTTATGTGTGAAGTATGCAGATGGACTGTCTGTCCCCAGAGAGCAAAGGGATTGCAGCTCACCTGTGCAGGCCCTACTGGAATTGTTTCAGACAAGTGAAATAAAGTCTGAATTTAGAGGTTTTTCAGTTTACACTGATCATGAAGATTCGACTGGCACAGAAGATGTATGGGAAGGGCAGAACACAAATGCTGTTAGTTTATTTTCTTCTTCATCCTCTTCCCCGTTTATTGGATTTTAATGCTGCTTTATTTAATACAGTGTTTTTCAAATAAATTTGCAGGTTTAAGATTTTATTCATGGAAATATTCTTTTGTTATGTACAGATGAATTAATTTTCAAGGTTTTTTAATGCAAAAACTTCTATATGTGTATATGTGAATAAAACTTGCTAAGAGTTTTCTTTTTCTTAAAGCTGCTGCTTTATTACAGCTAGTAAAGGTGACCACAGGATTTTAGGTGACCACGGGTTTTTTGCTGGCCAAAATCAGTGAGCATTATGTAGCTGCTTTTGGATGGTGTATTTTCTAAAATCATTGACTGGGCACACTGAACACAGTACATTCTAACTAACCACATTATAAATTATTGGATGGTTCACTGTAAATAAGACAGTCCGTTGCTTGTGGGCCTCTCATGATTTGTGGAGGTTTGTTTGTTTCTCATATTCCTTCTGTTACTACTTTACAAGGGAATGCAAAAAAAAAAAAAAAAAAAAAAAGTGAGGGGGGGAAGTCACTTGCTTTTCAAAAATCTCTTCTGTTGTTTTAGGTAGGGAGTTTATGCAGTCACAAAGAAATAACATCAAGAAAGCATGCACTGAGTTCTTCAGCTGCTCTGCCATAATTTATTTTTAGATAAAAACTAGATGTAGTGTGTATTTCAGCCAATGAGAAGCAGTAGATGTATGACTTTAAAAAAAAAAAAAAAAAAGAAAAAAAAAAAAGCAATAACAACCTCAAAACAAGCCAATAGGTTGCTGAACAGCTTGGGCCCTTGGTTTGATTTTGCTTTCTGAGTAGGCAGCCTATCTGACTAGCCTGGTTGGAGGCAGAATGAAGGACATGAGTGGGAGCTGGAAGGGCTTTTTTAATACTCTGAATCTTTACCAAACCTGATCTCTTTCAGCAGTTCCATGTTTGTAAATCAGTGCAAGGCACGAGTATTGAATTCAAGTAGGGGTAATTGTGAAACTTCATTAATAAATGTAGGTACCTCATGGTGTTACAAGCTAAGAGCTAAACTAGCAGAAATTACTCATTTTTTGCATGTAAGTGTAAACAAATAGTTTGTCTCCTACCCATTTAACACTGTCACTCTGTTAGTGTTCTTATGATTAAACTGTGTTCTATGGTTGTTTACAGTAGTTTGCCCTTTGGTAGGTGATGTTTGCAATGAGGGGTGGGTAAAGATTCTTGGTGTATAGGGAGGAGTGCAATTGGGTGTAGTTTCCCATGTGTTTGTCTTTCCAAGTATTCTCCTCCCAAATTTAAAAGTATTAATACCGTTTGAAAGAACTGAAAAGGGGCAGCTAGGTATTAGGATGTTTATTTGTCTCTGACTTCCGAGTCTGTAGAAAAACATGTATTTACAGGATGTGTGGCAGGGATTCTGAGAAGTGTCAAACTGCCACAAGTACAGTTAAGTTGCTAGAATATAGGTATAGCATTAGAAATGCACTTTATCTGGAAGTAAATATTTGTAGTAATTGCACATATAACAATGGTTTGAATTCCTTCTTAATAGCTAAACAAATTTCTAATGATTTCATTTTTGGATTATCTGTTGTGCTTGTCAGTGAATCTGATAGGCTGCTATTGTAGCTTTTATATTCCATGTGAAAACAACTGTCAGTATTCTAATTGCTTCTCTTCTTTTTGTGATGATTACAGAAACTCGATGCAATATTCCCATGCTGTCTGCAGTGTACACCTACGTGCAGAGTACACATCTTTACTGTTGCAAAGAAGTGAAAGCTTTATCATTCAGGTGGAATAGTTGCTGCTTCATTTTAAAGTCTGACTGATGTAAACCCCCTGAATTTTTACATTAGAAAAGTGCTCTTGCTTAAGTGGTGGCCTTGTGGCCCAGTGACCTTCACTGTTTTGTCTTCATTGCACTATTTTAGCAGAGGTTGTTAGGGTAATCTTTGATGTGCTAAAATAGAAGGTGTGTACACTTGCAGAGTTACTAAAAGCCCATGCATACAATGTACTGGTTTCAGCATAAGGGCACGTTGTAACTGATCTGCTCATATCTACTTTTTCACTTCGTTACTGTAGGAGAGAGAAAAATCTTTAATTGAAGACTTAAAATAGAAACAGTAGCTGCAGATGGCAAACTTAGCTAAAAATTAACATGAAAAGAAATACAAGTGATGACAGTTCTAGAAATAAGGCACTGCAAGAGGTACATTGTTTTACTTTGGTTGTGTGTACACGAGGTCTGGTTTGGTGTCTGCAGTGGATGCGCACTGCCTATGACTTTTCTCCCTGCTATGCATTTATTTGGAACAGAAATATTTCTCTTCTGGTAAATTGTGTGGCTGAGAGGACAGTTCCCAAGGGCCTGGATTGCATCTGTGTGTGCTTGTATATGCATGTGCATATAGTTAATGATGTAGGGATTAACGACTAAAACCATACACCTGTGTAGCATTCTGCAGTAATTTTTGAGTTTCGTACTCCCAGGCAAGCCCTTAGAAGGCCATGTCCTTAAAAGATGCTCAGAAACATGCTGTAATGATTCTGTTTCTTCCTCATTTTCTTGGTATTAAATTTGTTGTTCTTTCTGTTCAAAATGACCACACATTTTTCTTCAGTAATATTTTAACATCTTAAACGAGATGTGGGGCTTTCTGCCTGGCCTAACAGTTGATGAAGCATCTTGCTGCTCTTGACCATGCATGACAAAGTCATCTCCCCCACGTTCTTGCTGTTCTTTGGCTGTGCTGATGAAACTTGTGGCTACAGTGCAGCAGAATTTGCAGAAGAAGGCCTTACCTGAAGGCCATTCTTTTGCAAGTCCGCATTCCATCTTGTTACTCCTTGAAGATCCTGCTGCTACCTATAGAAGAAAAGTAACATCTCTTGCTTGACGAAACTGCAGAGTGCTTGGAACAAAGTGACAGCCAAGTGTCTGGTAAACTGGTCTTCATTTTCTAGACTTTAAGTTGCAAACCATGCTGCTGGGAAAATGGAAAGCACCAGCTTACTTTCCTTACTTCACCTGAGTGTCAGTTTGTTGTGCTCCTGTCTGCTCACTATTCTGAGCAATCCTGACTGTCATATCTGCCACTGTCTTTGGGCCTCCCAGTGTCCTCACTGGGAGTGGCTGGTTAAAGCATGCGCTAGATTTCAGTTGCAGTCTCTTAATTTCAGAAGACAAAAGTTGTCTGTGGGAGGAGGAATGTTAAACTTTTCATAGCATTATGCAGCTGTAATGTTCTCTAGTTGGAGTCCATGTTGTTTTTCCATCATGTCTACTTGTGTGCTGTTGGATAATGCTCCATTGTGTATTCCTCAAAGCCAGAAATTTAGATTTTATCAGAATTCTAAAAATACAAAGCAATTTCTGTAGGGTTTTTTGTATCTTAAATTGCTGAGAGTACTTTGGAAGTTACTGTAGTTTCCTCAAAACTTTAGGCAGTTTAAGTCATGATTGCAAAGTCATTAATTCTTACTGCAGTCATTTATAGCAAAGCTTAAGCATTACTACTGGGAGGTAATTTTCAAAAACAGACCAAATAAATTACAAACTTGGTGTCAGCAGGGCTGTTTAGTCATGTATCATTCTTATTTGCTGCGGTAATAACACTTAGATGTTTAATTTAATTATTCTATGGCATAGAATTAATTATGGCTCACAGACAGTCTTTGGATTATCTATGGCAAACCAGAAGCTGAATTTCTACTCATAAATCACTTTCTTGGTTTTTTTCCCCCGTGATCCTTTGAAATATTGGTGCACATTTTTCAAGCCTCATTCTTCAGCTGTGGTTTAAAGTCTCATCGAACGTGCTCCTTATGTTTGGCAAGTGGGGAAGACATTGCAATATAGGGTTGAGCTATTACTGCTCGTTTTAAAACGTTGACCTGAGTTTTCACTGCCATAGAATTCTACGGAGTGTTCACTGACAAGGCAGTGACAGCTGGAAAGTTGGCTTTCATTTGCAGATGGCCGCTTCTGTGCTGAGAGGACAAGTGTAGGCAATCCAGCCTGAGCTTGCAGTGTGAAGGTAGCCGTGCAAGCTGTGCAAGCCCAGGGAGATCCCAGTGTGAAAAGAAGAGGTATTCAGCAGTGTTCTCTACCTGATTTCCCAATTCCCAGGGAGTTACTGTAAAAAGATCAATAAACAATGGTTTTTACCCAGAGAAGCTGTGGGTGCCCCGTCCCTGGGAGGTGTTCAAGGCTGCATTGGATGGGGCCATGGCAGCCTCATCTGATCTCATCTGATCTGATCTGATCTCATCTGGTCACCAGCCCAGGGCAGGGGGTTGGGACTGCGTGGGCTTTTAACTCAAGCCCAGCCTGGCCAAAGCTCCCCGGGCACTGTTGGTGTAGCAAGGGCTGGTGCTGCCCTGAGCACCCCCTGTATGTATTTGCAGTGGTTCTCTGCACAAAGGTAGTATCAAGATAAAAATGATGTATGTGATGTGGCAATCCAAGAACGGAATCTGACTGCTCCATGGATCTGTGTGCCTGCATTCAGGGGAGACCTTATTGCTCTGTACACTGACCTTAAGGAGGTTGTAGTGAGGTGGGGGTTGGCCACTTCTACCAGGTAACAGTTAGGACAAGAGGTAGCAGCCTTAAGTTATGATGGGAGGTTCAGGTTGGATATCAAGAAGAAATCATTCTCAGAAAGAGTGGAACAGGATGCCCAGAGAGGTGGTGGAGTCACTGTTCCTAGAGGTGTTTAGGGAAAGTGTAGACGTGCTTATGAACACAGGCAGTATTGGTGGTAGGTGGACAGTTGGGCTAGATGATCTTAGAAGTTTTCTTCTGACCTTAATGATTCTGTGATTCTATGCATGCTGCATGTGTGATACATACCCCATGTTGTGAGTCCTCACAAAGCTACCACCTAGGGGGCTGTTGTATAGGTACCGGTGGGGACTGTTTTGATCTTACAAGCAACTAGAGGGTGGTTGGCTGCAGCCCCAGATGTAAGGATTTGTAACTTCTGAAAAAAAAGATGAAAACACTGTCTTATAACACTGCTTTTTATCTCTATAAATAGCTCTTGATTTCTTGTCCCACCTTACCCTCAGTCCTCTAGGTGCCTTGCAGGATTAATGTGTGCTGTTTGGACAGTAAGGACCCAGAATTGAGGTGACGCTGTCTTTCTTGCACAGTCCAGATGCAATTAAAATGCCCTGAAAATGCTTTGCTCCCATCTTCAGTTTGGCGGGCCCTTGCTTTATCTGCTTGTTTATAGGGGGAAAACACAGAGAAGGTGGATTTCTTTCTTCCACGCGGTAATTGCTTCCTTTAGCACGAGGAGCTGTGGCAGTAAGCAGCCGGGCCCGGGATGCTGACGTTCTGCGGGTGCCTCAGCGCTGCGCGGGCCGAGAGCCGAGGGAGGAGCGGGTGCGGCGGGGGTGCGGAACGCTGCACTGCGCTGGGGCGCGGGAGAGCGAGGTGCGAATTTTCCCTGCTCTGAAATCCTGTTAAACTCTGACGGGCGAGGGAACGGGAATTTAAAAAGGGAGGAAAAAAGGTCATGCAGAGGGAGAAAGGTTTGCTCTGGAAAGGTGCAACTGCGGGCTGAGCCTGGCTGGAGGCAGCGGCCGATGAGGGAGAGAGGAGGCGCGGGACGAGGAGCGGCGGGCGCGTGACGCAGGGGGGCTTCCACTGCCGGCCCCGGGCGGGGGCTCCCGGTCGCGGAGCTCCCCTCGCGCGCTCTGCCGCCGCCGCCTACATTTCCCAGTACTTCCCTCTGCCGAGCGGGCTGCGGGAGCCGCGCCGGCTGTCGCCATCCTCGCGGGGGGCTCGGCGCGGAGCGGGGCGGAGCTCGGCAGCTCCGGCCCCGCGGCAGCCGCGGCCCCGCAGCCTCCACCCCCCCGCCCGCTCCGGTGCAGGCGCGGAGCCGGCGGCGCAGGGCGGCGGCAGACGCGGCGCGGAGCGGGGCAGCGCCATGCGGGCTGCCGCCTGCCTCCTCTCGCTGGCGCTCTGCGCCCTGCCCGCCGCCTCAGGTGAGCGCCGGGGCCGGGGGGATGCGGGCCGAGGGCTGCCGCGGAGCTCCCGCGGCGGCCTCGCGCTGACGGGTGCCTCTCCCCTGCCCTGCAGGCGTCGGGCCGGCGGCGGGGCGGCGGGGCGAGAGCCGCTTCGCGGAGCGGGAGAGCATCAGGCCGCTGCGGTTGGTGTCCGGAGAGGGCGGCGGCGGGGCGCGGCGGCCGGCGCTGAGCACGCGGGTGCGGAGCGGAGCGGCGCGGAGTCAGGTAGGCGCCGATAGGGCCGGTCGGCACCGCTCGGTTCCCCCAGCGCGCGTTCCGTCGGCGGGGAAGAACGCGCGTCGCCGGGCGCTGCTCGGGGCGCGCTTTCCCGCGGACCGCTCGTCCTCTCCGCCGCGGGGCCCGAACGGGTTAAAACGGTCCCCGAGCCTCCGGTTTCCATCTCCCGGCCGTCAGCCGCAGCTCGAGGCGGGCAGAGCCCAGCGGGCTCCTCAGCGCGGCTGTGGCGCGGGGCCGGGGGGCGCTGAGCGCTGTGCGGGCAGCGGCCGGAGCTGCGAGGGGGGCGGCTGGGATCGGCGGCGAGAAGTTAACGGGGGGATTCGGCCTGCGCGTCCAATCGCTATGGCTTTTATTAATATTAATACGGTGATTTTAGTCCCGATGGCTCAGCGTTGGGCGGGAGGTGGTACGTGAATGTTACATGTAATGGGAAAAGATGCTGTGTGTGCTGTCGCTGAGAGCGTGACAAACCTGTGCACTCGGGGTGGTTGCTGAGATCCAAGTGAGCCGCAGGCCTCTGCCTGCCATGTGCCAATGAGCTGCTGTCAATTTCAGACATCAGATAGCTGGAAAATGGCCTCAGATTTTTTTTTTTTTTTGTAGTCCTTAATGTATAATAAGCACTGACAACTTTTTTTTTTTGTTTTCTTTTTTTTCCTTTGCATACATATGGTTAAATAATAAATGTTCTCTTTATAGCATATCTATTTGCTTTTGAATGTCACGGAATCTATGTAAAGATCCTTCAGATACGAAGGCCGTATTTACATTATAATAAAATAGGCTTTTATAACTTCCAAGCTGCATGCTTTGTTTGAAAAAAACAATCTGGCATGTCAGAGCTCTTTGGAGACTCACAGGCGTTCACCTGCTTGGTGCTGTGTGGCACTGCTGGTTGAGGTGGCTGTGCTGCATTTGGACCAACCATTAGGAGTCACATTCTCACAGCACCAAAGGGTTGGTTTAAGGGCTTTATTTTCATGGGCGTCTCAAACTTCATTCACCAAACCTTCTACTCTTAACAATTTTTAGGTCACCCATGTTTTGTTGTCAGTAGTCAGTGTCAGTTCTGCTCCTCCCAGCAGAACGTAGATTTGGTGGGATAGAAAGGGTTAAACACATTCATTTCACTGCAGTCTTCTCACTAAACTGAAGCTGTATGTGTGAAACTCTGCACACAACCACGGCTTTTCCTCTCGATGAAGAAATTTTCCTTTACTGCTGAGAATACTGTCTGCCTCTCTATGGCTTCTGGTGACCCACCCCCCTTCCCTCCCCCAAAGGATGCAGCTGGCAATTCCAATGAGGAATCTGGCCAAGCTGAGTGGAGCTGGACTGCTCTTCTGTGCCTCTTGCACAGGGCACAGTTACATCTTAATTACAGGATGTGCATTCCTTGCCCAGAGATCTGAGTCAGCTTGGCAGCACAGGCAGCAGCATGGCTGCATTCACCTAACACGGCTCCATAGGAGCTGCCTTTGGGACTGTGGGCGTGCAGCTGCAGCACTCACCCTAGTAGTTAATATCTTGACTCTAAAAGTCTGGCATCCCATAAAAAAAGCCTACCTCTGTTAGAGTGTATCTCAAAGCTACAGACTGTTAACTTCTGCTTTTGGGAGGCTGGTACAAGCCACAGAAAGTGTAAAGGTGTGGGTTCTGCTAGCATGTGAACAGATACCCAAGTGCACTCTGCTCTGTCAGCAGCTCAGATCAGTGACACAGAGGTGCTCTCAATCAATAACATTTTATTATATCTTAGTTGTTTTGTGTTTAAATAGCCTTTGACTGCCTCCAAACCCTGTTCTACCTATTACTAGTTGTCTTTGGATAGATGTGTATCGCAGTTAGAACATTTGGTCTCAAAGTATAGCTTAAAGCATATCCTAATGACCTTGTGCATTGGTTTAGGAATTGTGTGTCTTGGAGGGGGCCAAAACATTCAGGAAGAACCTGGGATGGCAAAGAACAAGCAGCCATGTGTAGAAAAGCACAGATACCTGAATGGGATGGTGCAGAGCACTGGGCAGCAAGGCTGTGGCTGAGGACTTGATGTAAAACAATGTAATTGTATTATGAATTGGATAAAGATAAAAGGAAAGAGAGAGATTAGTGAAGCTGGAGAGAAGGGAGTTGCATTAAATCGGATTGGATCCCTTTAATTCCTGGATGAAAGCTTTAGCCTCAGAAAGGGCAGAAGTTGTACAAGAGGGCTGCCAGCCTGAGTCCAGGATTGCACAAAGGGAAATTAAGATGGAAGCTCAGGGGCAAGCAGCAGCATGGGGGTGAGAGGAAGGAATGGAAGGCAATAATGACAGAGAAGTAATGGATCTCAAGTAATCTGTGGGTTTTTTTTCAACATTTGTTGAGAATTTTCTCTAGCAACTTCCTTTGTTTTGTTTGTTTGGGGTTTTCTGATCCATTGCCATCACTATAACTATGGAGTGACTGCTCAACACACATGCTTTACTATTATTCAGAAAAATGGCATGTGTGTGTATTCAACCTAGAAACCCAGAATGAAATTGCTTAAGAAAAAAATCAGCATACTCAGTCTGAGCTGGACTTCAGAGCACAGCACAAGGGAAGCATTGTAGGCTACAACATATTCATGTCATTAACATTTTAAAGCACAATGTTTGGTGAGCATTGAAGCATTCACCTGCTTTTGGGTTTTTGCTTTTACTTCTACCATGGAATAGTCAGTACAATATCCATTGCTTTCCCTTTTCCTCAAAAGGGGGCTTATTAGCAGCTGCACAGCATTTCATCTAAAGAGTAATCAAGATAAGATATATCTGAGAGTGTGTGAATATTGATATTGTCATTACTGCTCTCCAGGATCATAGCAAGGGACACTTAATTCACTGTTGTGTAAATAAACCTATTAGAAAATGAACATCTTGTGGGCATTCTGTAAAGGATTCTTAACTAGGATTCTTGTCTTTTAAGATCAAGAATGTTCATGCTATTGAAAGTGTAAGGAGCCTTTTGACTGCATATCTTCTGCCACATTTTGGTAGGGTTTAGTTGTACAAGTTTCTTAATACTTTCATTTAGCCCATAGCATGCAGGCATATTCTTCGTAAGTCGTGGGAGTAAGCAAGCATTTCTTCCCAGTGCCTGCATTTCTTCTTCCACCAGTAAAGAAGAGAAAAAAGAGCACAAAGTCTGCTGTTATAAACACAAGTTTGTACTCAACACCAGCACTATACTTAGAGGACTGTTCTCTGTGGATCAAATGGTTGTGGAGATGAGATTCATTTGAGCTTAGTGTCAGAACTCTACAGGTTCTTCAGCCAACAGATGCCTTCCCTCAACCATAAGATCTTAGCAGTTATCTGTCTCAATTCTGGAGATCACAGCCTCCCTGATAGTGCCCCAGTGGTGCTGTGGGAGGTCTCTGAATGTGCCTTGCAACGAGCAGTACACCAATGAACCATACCTGAATTTAACTGGGACACTGGTTTTGTGACTGATCCTTGTCTCCTGCTGTCCTGACCTGGTATTTCCATTGCATATGGGATGTATTACTGACCACTTCACAGAGAATAAGGTTGTTTCCAGCATTTGGAGAAGAGAATGAGATTGACCGGCATGCTTGCTCAATGCCAGTGGGGAAGGGTCTGATTCTCCTTGCAGACAACTTTGTGGTCATGGCAGTGGGTCTGCACACAGTCTGAGGGACTGCACTGCTCATCTCAGGGCTGTCATTGCAAGTATCTGTTCTTGAAGAAATCTGGGAGATTTGCAGTTATTTTTGATGAGAACAAGGTCCTGACTCTCTGACCCACTACGGGCAAAGATTAACTCATCTTTGCTGGCTAGACAAAACATTCGCAGTATGACAACTTCTCTTTCTTTCACAGTATGGCAACTTCTGTTTCTTAACCAGTTTTTCACTTGCTTGTGTACCATTATGGTATACTGAATTTCTTAGGAATGAGTAAAAGTGCTGATGTGGTTGTGGGGAGCCTGGTATGAGGGCCCCAGGATGTGTCTCCAGGTAGGGCTAAGTGTTTGTGCTCCCGAGTGATTGGGTAGATTGCAGCAAGGTGTTTATTTGTCTTATGCTGTCTGTGTTCCTGGATTGTTTGAGACCAATGCACACAATTCCACAAATTGATCAGGAAGCACAGCTAACAGATTTCTTAAATAACTTCTTATGCTCATAATCAATTGCAGAGAAGCTCTGCTGTGACATCCCAAGCTTGCATGGCTTTGCTTGTTCTTTGAATTTAAATCATCCATCAGTAACTCAGGGGCTGCCCAGTTTTTGCTTTTGCATTCCCTGACTTGTTGGACTTTCCTCTAGCCTCAGACCAGCATATCCCTATTCTTTGCAGGTGCTCTGTAATTGTTAGTTCTATTGGAAACATTTTGCTTTCTGTTCTGGTGCTGTCGACTTCTGATGATATTAAAATTTCCTGTGTTTGGTAGCTCAAACAATTAGTAATCTGTGGTTAAAAATGTGTTCTGACTGCTGAGGGGTTTATAAAACAGCTCTGGATTTTGGGACTGCTGGATTGATGACTGATGAAAAAAGAAGCGTCATGAGAAACTGCTCAATTCTGAGAATTATTTTCTGCCCACTTAGTCAAGTGATTGCCGTCTCTTGGAGAAACTTAGGCACAATTTTCAGTCAACCTATCACAAAATCAAAGGGGGAGGAGGATAAACTGGGACGGAGGCTGTAGTGAGCAAAAAGAACATGCATTTGGTTCACTGCCAGGTCTGGTTTTCTTCCTGCCTCTTTGCTTCTTCTCTCTCTTTCCTTAAGGTTTATAAGGCATTTGGAAAAATGCATGAAATATTTTCTAGTATTTAGCATGTGCAGTTCTGCAGTATTTGTGTAAGGATAAGATTCTCCATCAACCTGACAATAATCTGTGTCCATGAATATGTGAATGGCAGTTAAAAGACCAAACCTCATGATGCAGGTCCTGCCTTTGTGAAGAAGAAATGCTGTAGGCAGTTTTTGCTACAGACTG